TCTATTCTATGATATGATAATGCTACTGTCTTATCCACATTAAAATAGAGTAAATCAGCGTCGGACCAAATTTTTATATTATATTTATGAAGTAGATCAGAAGTAATCGTTGCATGAAGAGTTGCAATAATAGAGTTTCTCCAGGTGATACTGGTATCATCAGCAAAAAGAAAAAAAAATGCATCGATTTTTAAATTAGTAATTTCATTTATAAAAATAAGGAAAAGTAGATGACCCAATACTGAACCTTGTGGTACTCCACATAGAATACTTTTGTGACTAGAGTCAGTATTATTTGCTCTATCCAGTTGTTTCCTATTCCCTAAGTAAGATTTGAACCAATTCAAAGAAATAGCTCGAATTCTGTAGAAATTTAGTTTTTTAATCAAAATGTTGTGATTTACACAATCAAAAGCTTTGGCATAGTAAAAAAAAGAATGAATTTAAGACCTTTTTTGAATTGGAAAGATAGGAAATAGGATTTTATTGTGCCAAAATAGTTAATGTTATATTTTTAGTCACATTTGGTAAAATTTTAATAAATAAAATGTATAGCTCAAGATGATTAAAACAATTTTTTGAATTAAAGTGTCTTCGTTTCTTATATAATACACTGCACCCCAAAATTAACGCATAATTTTGAAAACTCTGGTAAATTAAATAATTTTAATGTTTCGAGTTTTGTGCTAATATATTATTGTTACCCCCGGTATATTGTAAAATTTATCGAAAGAACGGTAAAAAACGCTAATGTTTTTAACATTTTTTGCAAAAAAATTAAAAACATGCTAATTATGCTTCATTTTATTTCCAATTTAGTTGGGTTGGATTACGTTGTGCTGAACATTTAAAGGGGGTTTTCAAATTTATTAAGTGTTTTTTCTTTAAAATGAACCACCAGCAGCAAGAAAATCGAAATTTGTTAGAAAGTGACTGTTTTAGAATCGTTACTCTTCGCGAAGAAGGATAGGCTCAAGTAGAACTCGCTGAACGTTTTAACGTCACCCAGTCAACCATTTCAAGAGTGTTAACACGTTTTTCTGTTACTTGAAGTAACTTGAGAAGACCCGGTCAATGCCGTAGAAGGGTTACACTAATAAAGACCGGTTTTTGACACTTAGTACACGGAGACAAAGGTTTGTTATCAGTACTTCTCTACAAAATGAATTTTTGGATCGTTATAACTTTAGAATCAGCCAAAATACGATTAGAAGAAGACTTCCCGAAAACGACCTACACCCTGGAAGGGCACCAATTGGCCCATTATTGACCAGAGACCATAGAAGGCAAATATTGCATTTTGCTCGTGAACATGTTGATTGGAATAATGACGATTGGGGAAGAATATTGTTCACCAATGAATCCAGGTACTGTCTTTTTTCATGACAGGAGAAACCGAGTGTATAGAAGACCTGGGGAACGATACGCATAGTGTAACACCGTAGGGACTGTACAGTTTACAGTATGGCGGCGGCTCGGTAATTGTGTGGAGTGGGATTAATTTAGAGGCTCGTACTGAATTAGTTAGAATAGATCGCGGTCGGCTTACATCGCAGAGGTAAATAACTACAGAGGTAGAAGAGCATGTCGTGCCATTTGCACCATTTATTGGGGATAATTTCATGCTTATGCAAGATAATCCCAGGCCATACACGGCAAGAATTGTGCGGCAGTATCGTCAGGAGGTTAGAATTCCTGCCAAGGATTGGCTTGCGAGAATTCCTGACCTGAACCCAATAGAACGTGTTTGGGACATCATAGGCAGACGACTACCAAACCACGGCACCAAACACGTTAGATGAACTGTTTTTGCGGTTGGTTGAAATTTGAGATCAAATTGATCAAGGAGAAATCAGAACGATTATTCTCAGTATTAGAGATCGTTGTCAAGCAGTAATAAATCCCAGAGGAGGCAATACTCGATATTAGTACACGGTACTAGTATTTTCTTTCGAAATTTAAATTTCGTCATTAATTTATAATGTTAGTTTGTCTAGATGTTTCGATTTATGATGTTACATTGTTAATTTCAATACATTTTTTTTTGCAAAAAAAGAAATGTTTTTTATTTAAGATGTTCTAAAACAACCATAAAGCAGAAAAGAACAAACAAAACTTTTTTCATTACAACTCAAAATAAGAATTTTAAAATTATGCGTTAATTTTGCGTATTTCTATATAAATCTACGTCTATTAAAAACATGTCCGAATCATATCCTGTTGTTTGTTTATATTAATTTAAGAAAAAAATATTTGTAAGTAAAAGCAAACAAAACATAAAACCTTATAATAGTATAATTAAACAACCGCATTATGTAACAAATTGTAAATAAATTGCTAATTGTTTAATGATTCAATTGTCATTATGCATGAGGTTTGGTAGTTATGTGCATAAACAGGTTAAATGTTAAAGGAATTCTAAAATAACTATACTATTTATACATTGTTGGTATTGTTAAATTGAACTACACTTCATAGTCGTGGATAAAAATCCCTAAAATCTACCAAACCCTCTCAAGATATATACCTTTCTATACCATGCTCTCAGGTTAGCAAGCCAGGATACTCTTCTTCGTCCTGGGGCCCGTTTGCCTTCAATTTTACCCTGCAAAATGCATTGGAGTAGCTCGTGTCTGCCTTGATTTCTCATTATATGTCCCAAGTACTCCAGCTTACGGCTCTTCACAATATTGACCAAATCCGCGGTTGTGTTCATCCTCCGCAGTACTTCTTCATTGGTGACTTTGTCTGTCCATGGTATCTTCAGGATTCTTCTGTATAACCATAATTCAAAAGCCTGAAGTTTTGATAGAGTTTCTGCCTTCAATGTCCATGTTTCTACTCCATTCAGAAGCACTGAGTACACGTAACATTTAAGGAACCTTATTTTTGTTTTCAGGGTGAGGTCATAGCTTTTGAACACAGAGCTCATAGTCAAGAATGCACTCTTGGCCTTTCAGATGCGACATGCGATTTAATCCCTTGGGTATTGTCCCACGACTCATTGACTATAGTTCCCAAGTAATTGTATTGTGAGACACGTTCATTTCTCATTTGGTTCACATACAGATTTGCTCCAGTTATGTTTTGCTTGCTGATGATCATTAGCTTGGTTTTGCTGGTATTTATATCCAGTCCATATGTTCTACCTGTTTCCGTTATTCTGTTCATTAAGTTTTGCAGCCCTTCTATGGTATTGGAAAACACTACCTACCCACGCAAGTTGGGAGGAAGCATCACTGGCTGTTGTCAGTCAGGATAAGCTCCCAAAACTTACCAAAGCCTCTCTATGGATCCCAGATGAAGCTAATAGCACCTCTAATGATTCAGAAAGAGTGCTGCTGAGGTTAACGGCGCAAAATCCAGACATGGCAGTTGCGAGATGGTGCACCTTCCACCATGAGGTAAAAAAGGATCCTAAAGGACACCTGTTTGTCTTCGGAATCAGAGACGATGACATGGCTATTCTTAGGAAAAGGGTAATGAGGCTGAGCTACACGTTCACCTTATTGACTGTAAAAGCAAGCACCAACAGAGTGAAGGACACCACCTCGGAACCAAGAACCTCAGTCACTCGGCAGCCGACTTCGGTTGCTTAGACTGAGACACCCCTAGTTCCACAGCTGGGACAAGATCATCAGATGATGGTCGACAATCACTGCAGAGAAGGCTCCACAACGAGTAAGGCTCAACCGAGGAGAAAATGGACACCTAAAAGAACCAAAACGATACATAAGCCCTGGGCAAGGACATCGGAAAAATAAGGTTACTATTATTCAATTCAACCTCCAACACAAAAAGGTGGCAACGGCGACACTATGGCGCCACCTGGATGTAACGGAGGATGCAATAGCACTAATCCAAGAACTTTGGATAATTAAGACCAAAATAACTGGTCTTAGCAGTCTAAATGGTCAAATTTTCAGCTTACCAAGCAATCAACAACCAAGAACAGCAATATATGTTTCCAGAAAAATCAAAGCCTCCCCATGGCGCAGTTTTTACCTCAGACGTAACTGCGGTTAAAGTGAAATGCCCATGGGGAAAGGGAAAAATAGAGAGTTGATACTAGCATCGGTCTACCTACCCTCAGATGCAGCCACCTCACCACCAACAAAGAAAATGGAAGATCTGGTAGATCATTGTCTCAGTCAGAAGGTAGAACTTATTATCGGCTGCGATTCGAACTCTCACCATTTAGGCTGGGGCAGCAGAGGTAACAACGCCCGAAGAAAGTCTCTTTATGACTATTTTATTAGAAACGATTTGTATATCTTAAATAGAGGCACCGAACCTACCTTTATTAATGTTCGAAGCCAAACAGTCATAGACATCACGCTAGCAACAGCTGAAATATCGAACAAAATTCAGAACTCTCAAGTTTCGGACGATACCTCTATGTCTGACCACCGCTAGCTAACCTTATTAACTTATTAATATTACTTATAATCTTATTATAAACTTATTAAATCAACAGTTCGATAAAGATAGGGAGAAATTACAAGAACTTGACTGGTACCGGGAATTGCTGAATGGCAAAAGTTCAAATGACTGTCTGGAAGAGCAACCAACGCTTCAAGTTTGATTTTACTTTGTTCAAATTGTTAAATACTTATAATAAAAATAATTTTCTACATGGTAGTTCGTTTATTTTATTTTATTAGCAACAAAAATAATCATGCTCTTGCAAAGATTTTTTGGGCAAAAACCGATAAATTTCTGTTTTCAAGCAGAACCCGATAAATTAAAAACAAAATCAAAAATAAAAACAGTAAAAAAAGATAATATATTAAAATTCTAGAATTTTATTACATGACTTCTACTATTTATTTCCAATATGATGTTTGTTTAAATTGTTATGGGATTTTGCTGTACAAGTTTTTGGCTTTTATCTCAAAATTGGAAAAAGTGGATTTATCGGTTTTTGCATGTATGCTTCTCAATTGTTCATTATTTCAAGTAAAAATAAGGTATTAATATATGCCTTTATTCTTTTTTAGACATGAGGATTTGAATATATTTGTAAATGGACAATTTTATAAGGGTAAGTATGACTAATGATATCTTACTCTACAGCCTGAGTCTGAGCATCCGCGTGAAAGTACGCTATTCTTACCACTAAATCACCAAGCTTCGATAATTCTTTAGTGGCAAGAGTTTATGCGACGTCTTAAATCATAGTAGAAATTATTTTTGATCAATAATTTAATTTTGGATTAAAAAATTACTACTAATTAAACTGTTTTTACTTACATTTGCTCAGTGACGGATTAAGGCTAAACAAGCCCTAAGAAACATTGTATTTCCGGGCCTATTTTGCTGTCATGACACATATTCTTAATTTGATAGTTTAGTTTTAAAGCATATAGTATGTAGTTTTGTTTAATTTTCAGATCCCAAAAAAAGAAAAAACATAATTTACTAAAAACAAACAATAATATTTAAACAAATATACCTAGATTGATTAGTTATAGTGTCTTTGTTATCACTTTTAATTCTGTAAACTTGTCAATCCGTTTGTCATAATTAATAGAGTTATTTATTAACTCTTTTTCTATATAAAGTAATGCTAAAATATTTAATTTTTGTTGACCTAATGTGCATCTTAAAATAGTATATTACTTTATGAGGCGGAGAAGCATGACTTTGATATCTTCTTGAAGAAAAGTCGCTTCTTTGCCGAATAAAGTATACTATTTTTTCTTCAAACGTAGCAATTTTCAACCATAATTAGTACAATTCATACGCTATTTTTACTCGAAATTAACTGTGACAACTATCAAAGTCGTCTAGATGTTAGAAATTAAAATAATTAAGTCGTCGGTGGGATTTGCGTCTCCCTGGTTACAGTTGTTTGACAGTTGTTTGCAATTATTAAAGACAGCTTATTGTTGTTGCAACTGCAAGCGCAAATTTAGTGCGAAAATGGAAAACCTAAACGAAATTGAGTCCGTGGCTAATGATGCAGTAGCACGTTTGGGGCCCTCCAAGTCCGGAATAAAGTATCGGTTAGCGTACAAGCACTTCCAAGAGTGGTGCGATACAAGAGGAGTACGGCAAGTTACTGAAGACGTTTTACTGGCATATTTTAATATAATGGAAAATGAAAATAAATGGAAATCTTCTACAATGTGGTCACGATACTCTATGATAAAATCCGAGTTAGTTATTAGAAAAAATGTGGATATAAGCAATTTTTTAAAGTTACGTGCCTTTCTGAAAAACAAGCGAAGGATATACTGCAAAGAAGTCTAAGGTTTTCAGTAAAGACGAGTTTGATAAATTTTTGTTTGGGGCGCCAGATAAGTTGTATTTAGGATTAAAGGTAAAAAAAAATTATATTGCAAAGCATGTAGTATACTCTACTAGATTATAAAAATATTTCAGATTTTTTGTTAATTGGGGTTACCGGCGCCTGTCGATGCGACGAAATGATAAAAATGAAGACTGTGGACATTGAGGATAAAGAAAATGTAATAATTATCAAAATCCCAGACAGTAAAAGACGTACACTTCCCACACAAGTACTTCCCTCTCACTTTTTTTTATTTATCATTTTTTTTCAGGTCAGTGTCAATGCGTCCGGTAATTTTTGATCTTATTATAAAAATTAAAATGGAAATGGATGGTTTTCATGCTCTGAAAATTTTTTATGTACATTTTTCCAATCATTCGCCCCTTTTGTCATTAGCGTTGTTTGATTAGAAAATAGTTTACAGACGTAACAGTACAATTAGTTGTTTCATTATAAAAAATCTTTTTTAACTTTTTCCCCACTATTAATTGTTCTGAAGAAGGAAGCAATAATTAATTTTCTTGTTATTTGTTTCGACCAGATCAGTTTCACCATGGTTCACAAAAGAAATAAAAGAGAAATGTAAAGAGAAACGAGAGGCCTACACGCAGTACACAACATCAATTAATCCAGAATTCCGAGACGCCTATAAAAGAGTATGAAATGAAAAAAAGCAGCTGGTAAGAAGAACAAAAAATGAACACTGGGAACAGTTTACAAAAAGGATGGAAAGCGACTTCTACGGTACACAAAAACAAATATGGAGATTCATAAGAAACCAACGGAAAGAAATGGCGGAATTGAAGGAATACAATAACATACCAGCAAACAAACGGGAATTATAACTGACGGAACTGTTTAAAGGAAAGAAAAATAATAATCAACACAATAACGTAGTCACGTAGTAACGGTCAGCAGGACCAGACTTAATAAGCAACGAGCTTCTAAAACACGGAGGAGAAAATATAACCCTAAAGATGACAACATTTATACAAAAACTAACATTGCCCTGCAATATACCAGACGCATGGAGGAACATCATAATGATACCAATGTTCAAGAGAGGGGATAAAGAAGACCCCAACAATTATAGAGGTATAAATCTACTGAACACCTCACTTAAGCTTACCACAAAAGACCTAACCAACAAAATCAATAAACTAACCACTTTATCAGATGAACAACAAGGTTTCAGATCTGGAAGATCCTGCGTACAATAAACCAGCATATCTATATTTTATAGACGTGACAAAGGCTTTCGATTTCATCCAAGTCGAAGACGTCGTACACCTACTGTATAAAAGAAACATACCGATCAATATTATACAAACTATTGAAAACATCTACTTGATGTGACCATGACCTAATATAGGGAAAATAAATGTAAAATTAACACATTGTATACCAGTACAAAGCGAAGTCAGACAGGGTATAAGCCGTACGTAAAGATCATAGTTACAGATGTTACAATGGTTAATACACATCTTTAATACAACAGCCAAGAAATACAATATAATAATATCAGCAGAAAAAACCAAATGTATGACAACATCTAAATACCCACTACGATATAAAATCGAAATTGATGGAAAAATAATAAAGGAGGGAGCAAGGTTTAGATATCTGGGAATAGATATAACTAGTTACGGAGAAATTGAAGAAGTAAGACAACAAAGCTTAAATGCAAATAAAGCGGCGGGATCTCTTAATGTCACAATCTGGAGGAACAAACACCTAAGACAAGACACAAAACCAAGAATCTATAAAGCAGTAATTAGAGCTATATTAACATAGAAAGCAGAGACAAGACCTGGCACATCTAAAACGAGACGACTACTAAAAACAACAGAGATGGAAATACTCCGACGAATATCAGGGAAAAGTCTGTTGGATAGGGAGAGAAGCGAAAACATAAGAAGAGCATGTAATATGGAAGACATAAATGGATGGGCGACAAAATGGAAACAGAAGTGGAACGAACAAATTAGTAGAATGGTAGAGGAGATGATGTTACGAATAGTACGAGATAAGTCACCAAATGGACGAAGAAGTATTGGCAGACCAAGAAAAAGATGGTGTGATAATTTAAACAATTTAGGAGACTAATATTGAAGAAGAAATAGGCTTTAATGCCTACATAAAAGAAGGAAGAAGAAGAAGAAGTAGTTACAGGGCCTTAAGTACCCAATGCATCCCTGAACTCGAATTGCGTATTTGTGTCCTCCATACTTTTTGATGTTTTAATTTCTTGCAATCCCAGTTGACTTGAAATTAAACAACACTTACTACTATACTATACTATACTTCTACTATAATGATGACATGTTGGAGTGGAATGGCATTTGATTATGTTTTAAATCTTATCGTCATTTTGAATTTCAGTTCTTGCAAATGAATTATCCCCTACTACCACCTTAAACAGTTTCTTAAGGAACCATCTACATTTAACAGGCACTAAGCGAATGTGCTTAGAAGGAGGTTGTGGAGCTTGCTTGGTTGCTGTCAAACGGCAGAATGCAACAACGAAGGAAGATGAAATAGTTGCTGTCAATTCTGTAAGTATAGGTTCTAACTAATATCGTCCTGAAACAATATTTTGCGGGATGTTTTACATTGAGTGTTTTATATTTTTTGGGAACAAACCACAACCAGCAAAAATATTGCATGTAATATACTGCCCTGCTAAGTAAAAACATCCTAACTGGCAATATTAGACTTATGAGAAAAAGCAATATTACACCTCTTTTAACATCTCTGCCCGAGGTAGCATGATATATATATATATATATAAATACCCTAAATACCCCACACGGGGTTATGCCGCTTAAGCTCTCTAGATCTATGTTACGAGGTGGATCAGTCCTCATTTTCTTTATTTAATTTTCCTGTTATTTTTCTCCACTGTTTCCTATCTCTGGTTTTTTCTCTCCATTTCCGTTCGCCCGCCCTGTTGAGATCATTTGTTACTTCTTGTAGCCATGTAGATCTTGGTCTTCCACGTCTTCTTTTACCAGCTGGTGTCCATTCCAATATTGAAAATATTGTCGTAGATGGTCCTGATCTCCATATGTCCTAGCCATTTTGCCCTTTGCTGTTTTATTTTACAAATTATATCCTCTTTAATTTCGTTTAGTAGTTCATGATTCGTTCTTTGTCTATATTGGTTTTCATTAATTTTTATTGGTCCTAATATTACTCTTAGTATTTTCCTTTCTAGTATTCTAAGGTCTTCCTCTTGTTTTTTTTTTGTCATGCTAAGGGTTTCGGCAGCATATATCATAGTCGGTCGAATTATTGTTTTATATATCTTCATTTTCGATTTCTTGCTCAGTAATTTATTTTTTAGAAGTTTTTTATTCACCTAGTATGTCTTATTTGCCGTAATTATCCTTTCTTTAATTTCTCTTTCCCTTTCTCCATTGTTTGTTACTACTTTTCTACTTCTTCAAATATATATTCTCCCAGTCTAACCTTTTTGTTTTCATATTTTTTGTCAAATCCCATTATTTTTGTTTTTTCTTAATTTATTACTAAGCCCATTACTTTCCCTTCTGCTACCAATTCTTTTAACATATTTTCTGTTTAACGGATGTTTTTTGGTTTCTTTGAAAACCAGCTTCAATATGTGTTGTTAAGGATAGGATCTGATCTGTGCAGCTGCGGTTAGGTCTGAATCCTGCTTGCTCAATAGGTATCAATTCAAATGCGTTTCTACTAATTCTGTTGTAGATTAAGCGTTCCAACAGTTTATAAACACAGCTCAGCAAAGCAATCGGTCGGTAGTTTTGAGGCTGATTATTTGCCTTTCCTGGTTTTAATATGGCTATAATGGAGGCCTTTTTTAATGAATGGGGGATTTCTCCTGATTTTAACATATTTGTATAGAAATCAGCCAGCCATTTCCTAGCATATTTGCCACAGTGGAGTAAAAATTCTGTATGAATTTTATCGGAGCCGGGCGCCTTTCCAGACTTAATTTCTGATATGGCTGAAATAATTTCTTCTGGAGTAAACTCGTCAGAGTATTCAGAAGTAGGCGGGCATGCAGACTTTAGTACTTTAAGTTCTTGTTTGACTTTGGTGGTGTGATCACGATCTCTAGGTGCTCTTGAGGTTGCTACAATGTGGGAGGCCACTCTGTTTGGAGCTATTGGTACTTTTTCTCTAGTTGGGAGGCTACTACTACCAAGTTTTCTAAGTAAAGACCATGCTTTTCTGCTTGATTTACTAAAGTCTAATTTTTCCACAGTTTCCATCATTTTTTGGCGTCTGGCTGCATCCAAACTGTGCAGTAGTTCGTCCGCAATTTCTCGATCTTGGCTTTCGTTGTACTCTTGATACAATTTCTCGCATTTTTCATCACATCCTGGGACATACTCTTTACGATATCCTCTGGGTATAGTTTTCTTCGCTGTAGAGATAACTGCGCCAACAAATCTCATGTAGTTTGAACGTGTTGGGGCTATCCATCCCAGACATTCGTCCAATCTTTCAGTAAAAGTCGCCCAGTCTGCTTTTTGAAAGTTCCACCTAGGTCGGGGAAAAGATGATATTATTCACGTACAATATTGTACGTGAAGCTGTCAGTGGTTGATTGTTTTTATTTGTGGAAACAAAACATAGGTCTGGGTTGTATTGTCGCCTCCAGTCTGCAGATCGAAAAGTTCCCCGATCTTTAGCATCAAAGACTAAATAAGTGTCAACCTCTTCGCTCCAGTTTATTAGAGCCTCGCCGTTTTGATCATTGTGTCTATACTTCCAGAGTTCATGATGACTGTTAAAGTCTCCCACATAAACTGAGGGGTGTGGGTAGGCGTGAATAACGTACGAACGCCACAGAACTGAAGGGGGTTTATAAATACTGCTGACAGTAATTTCGCCAATTTGTATAGTAACCGTATGAATGTTATTTATGTCTGATATAGAACGTATGTATGCATTTTCTATTTTGTTTCGAGCATAGGTTGCCACTCCATAAGCTGGATGGTAAGTTGCACCCAATAAATCATAGCCATGAATTCTTCCTCTAGCGAGAATTTGTTTTTCGTTTTCTACATGGGTTTCCTGAATTGCGACCACGTCAATATTATTTTCAATGAGTACCTTTTAAAGGTACTCATATTTACTTCTACTAATACCTTCTATATTTAAATGGCAGATTCGGATGCTTGGTCCGAGTCCTTTTGTCGCTTGATCCTGAGAAATTCCATTTAAATTGTTGGTTGGAGGCATATCTTATGTTCGTGATGTGTTCTTGCCAGGAGATCTAGAAATAATAGATTGTCTGGCTGCCTATTGCGCTAGTTCATTTAGCATTACCCAAGGTGCACGTGTAGTATTCTATTACTGACGCGAACTAGCTTTACACCCCATAGTAGTGGAATATAACCTTACTGAGAAAAAACCAAAATTCGGATTTTTTTACTAAGCAGGACAGTATATGCGCCAGTATAGGCACATTAGTCTGGCCATTCCTGCTATAAATTTTATTATTCTTGAAAAAAGTAGGTATTTATTACGTTTGTTGCATACATTGATATTTAAAAGTGATTTTCTGTTGTCTATTATTACGCTGTAACTTTTAACTTTGACTCTTTTGTATTAAGTCTATCATTATGTAATCCCATACGATCTAACGATGACGATTATTTGTTATTGAAGCTTTTAAGATATAATAAAACCTTACCATTGAAAATTAATGTAACAAAAAAGTTTAATGTAAATATAATATTTACATTAAATTGAAGAACTCAACACAAAACCTTTCGTGATAGATCATTGCATAATTGACCACTATTTTTTTAGTGTTTGGTTTCCATTTTTTCAACAGTCGGCTGGGAAATTTATACAATAGAAGGCCTTGGAGACACAACGAATCCAAATAAGTTACAGCAAGTAATTGCCAAGTTTTACGGCACGCAATGTGGGTATTGTACGCCTGGTATGATAATGAATATGTTTGCCTTGAAGCAGAACACGAAAGATGTTATGATGGAGACTGTTGAAAATTCCTTTGGCGGAAATATATGTAGGTGTACTGGATACAGGTAGGTAAAGTCCATTCGGTACCCTTCATGGATTTCGGATTAAGTAAATAAAATTCAACTAAACAACTAAAAATAATATTTAGGCTGATGATTTGGGAGGGTAGCAGCAATTATATATATATATATATATATATATATATATATATATATATATATATATATATATATATATATATGTATATATATATATATATATATGTATATATAAGGATCAATAAGGATCACTCAGACGAGTGGTGGGTTCTTATATCGGTTTAACATTTATAACATCGTTTCCATGATTGTGTGGTTCTCATATTGTACTTTTTAGATGAACTGATGATGCTTTCAGAATACGAAAGCGAAACGTCTTCAAAATAGATAAAGTAGCCTATCAACTTTGTCTTTTATTTCTCCACCTTGAGACCGATATAAGAACCCACCACTCGTCTGAGTGATCCTTATATATATTGGATTGACGGTCGTATATATATATATATATATATATATATATATATATATATATATATATATTCGGTTTTCTAACGTCTTACGACGTTGTCCGCTCCCAAACGCCACTGTATTTTGTCTTGAGTTAGGTCTTCGTCCAGATTTAAAGCGCTAATCGCTTTTCTAACTCCCAGGTGCCAGCTCTGTGGTGGTCTTCCTCGTTTCCTCTTCACTGGGGGTTACTACATCATCGTTTTTTTAGGCAATCTTTCGTCCCCTATTCGGCTCACATGCCCATACCATATGATTTCTCTCAATATCCTCAAGTATCCTATAGTGCCTTCTATACCCATTTGTCGTTTTATCACTTCATTCCGTATTCTGTCGGCTCTTGATATTCTCATCGATCTTCTGATGGCATCCATTTTCGTGGCTTCGACCTTTTTCTTATATTTCTCGGTTATTCTTCATGTCGCAGCTCCATAAAGTAGGCTAGTTTTAACCATTGTCTCATAGATGTTCCATTTTCTTTTCTTTGATATTTCTTTACTCCATAGAACTCCGTTCAAACATGCTATAGCTCTTCGTGCTTGTACAATTCGATGTTCTATTTCTCGTTCGTCTTTTCCACTACGGTCGAAGATGACGCCCAGGTATTTATATTCGTCACATGGATTTATTTTTTGATTGTCGTCGATATCGAGTTGTTCTGCTTCAGCTCCGATTGAGAGGTGTTTTGTCTTTTTTTAATTGATATTTAATCCCCATTTCTGGTATTCTTCAATTAGTTTTCTAAGCATGTATTCCATGTCGTCTTTGTCATTTGAGATCACCACCTGATCATCTGCAAACTGTAAAGTATATATGTAATCCTGATCGTTCAATTGTATACCCATTCCTTTGACTTTCCTTTTCCATTGCTTCAGAGCTGCAGAGATATAAATCTTAAATAGCAGCAATTGACCACTCAAAAATCCTAGGAAATAGACAGATTTAAATATCATAACTACGAAATTGGTGACACTCTACACGAAAAAATGTTAATTATTGTCAAATTTATTAGTTCAGGATATGGCGGTTTTCTGCTGAGAATTCTTTTAAATGCATGGATTTGCTGAAATTTTGACAGCAGGTACGAAATATCTCAAAGATCAAAATCTACCCTATGCAAATATGTGCTTTTCCTCTGGGAGTAGTTACCACCCCAACTCTGGGGTGAAAAATATTTATAAAAAAACATGGTAATCACTAGAATGATGAATTTTAATCAAAAATGTTCTTTACAGTTTTTTCAAAAAGTCAATATTATTAGAGTTATTCGGGACTGAAAGTTATTATTTCAGGTTTGTTACTCTCAAGATCCGTGACACATCAGTGATGCCTAGAAGAAATGAGAATAATAGCCTTGTTTCTCTTAGGAATATATGAAACTAGCGTTTTATGTTCTGGACTATTTCCATTTTTGATTTTCTCATGGTTCCGACGTAGGTAAGGTCTCTGGACTGCAACTCTTTTATTAGCTGAAGAGAAGAAAACCAATTATCTGTAGTAATATTCCTATTACATACGACAAGCGCTGAAAGTGGCACATTAATAACAATGTTGCAATTGTGTGCCTCCATTCTTTTTATTCCCGAGGAAAATATTTAAGCCTTTCATGCTTACTGGAGCTCTTCTAGGATCAGCAGGTGCAGTGTCTCCCTCTGGTTGGATGAAAGGAGACAACTTTTTGAAGTATATAGAGTCCTTACTAGAACTTATAAACGCTTAATCAATGAAAATATCGAACTTAGTAGTGAAGTTCGGTTCGGTTCGTAATGCCCCTTTGTCCGCTTCTCGTCGATCGATGCTGGTAGGGTTAATAAATGTTGAAGTTGTGGAGTAAAGGTGATTATTTAGCAACTCGTAATTACACAATATGGTGTTCGTTCGGTAACTACTCAATATTGACTGTATTAGAACTAAAGGGTATTTTAACTTCAAATTTTCCTTCGTTATCCCTTTTTACTGTTCTTTTATAATATTCCTCACACTCTTTTTCTTCTACTGAAAGAGCATTGCTTTGATCTACTTCTTCTAACTCCCAGTATTTTTTTATTTGTTCATCCATTTCTTGTCTAGATATCATGCTGACTACTTGTATATTAGGGATATTCTCTTGCTGTGCTATCCCTGACATTATCCAACCCAATTTTGTATTTTGGGTGAGCAAACCATCTTTTGTTCGATCTACTCCGTCCAGTAATATCAAACTATATTCTTTGGCTCCCAATAGAATATCTGGACCTGTTTTATTAAAATTTGGATCCGCCAGGACTAAGTTCCTATGGTTCCTTTCTTTTATTTGTATCTCTTTCTCCGGTAGATTTTTTGTTATTTTTCTTAGCCCAATTGCTTCGGTCTTCATTTCAAATTCATTTTTGAAATGCGCCTCTAAGTTTAATGTTACGCTCCATTTCGACGTCCTTTGGTCTTCATTGCCAATTACAGATATCTGAGCGTGGACAGCTTTTCTTTTTATTCCGAGACTTGTAGCGGCCTGCTCCGTTATGAATGATGACTGCGAGCCTTGGTCAATCAATGCTCTCATCAATTGTGAGCTTCCTTTTGAGTCTCTTACTCGTACTAATGTCGTTGCAAGTAGCACTTCTTCATTCTGATGACTTAAACAGCTCACGGGCATTCTCTTGTCTCCTTGACGATCCGTCGTAACTGTTGTCACCTCTGTTCCCACTAGAATTGGGTCTATTTTGTGGCCTCCTGTTTTCAGAATTCCTTCTGTTGTCATACTGGCACCCACTAGAATTAGGTCTATTCTGTGGCCTTCTGTTTTCAGAATTCCTTCTGTTATCATGCTGACCTTCTGACATGTGTAGTAATGAGTGGTGCTGTCCACCACATTCTACACATCTATGAGAGGAATAACATGGTACTTCCCTTTTGTTTAGTAGGCATCTACCGCACCATTGCTTTTCCTTTACGATTTTGTTTCTTTAACGTACTTGTTGACGTAGAAACGTTGTACATTTCAACAGTTTATGTTCTTCATGACACACCACACAGGTTATCTTCTTCTTTACCTGTTGTCTATGATCTGTTCCTTTCCTTTCTGTTTCCAACATCTCCAATGTCTGGAATCTTCTTTGTAGGAATTCCTGTGTCGGAATATGTCAGAATGTCCCTACTGTCTTGAATTGACGTTTCATATAATCTCCTGGTTTCTGTGTCCCACTTTAACATACTTATCCTTGCTATAAGAGGGCTCCAGGACTCTGTCATTACACCTAGTCCACTAATGGCTTCTAAGCATTCGTGGAGAGTATCATGTAATGATTTCAGCGCCTTTGCTGACGTTTCTTTTATCTCCGCAGCCTGAAGTATCTTGTCTATTAATATAAATAGATTCATCCTTGGATTATCGTATCGATCTTGCAACATTTTCCAGGCAGCACAAGGCTTGTCTTCAGATACTGCATTTTTTCCACATTTGATAGTTGATTATTCTCATGTATCAAACGTTTAAAAATATCATAGAATGTTACCCAGGATTCATACCTTCCTTCAAAACAGGGTAACTTTACTTGGGGTAATATTATTTTGTCTTTCTTGCATCCTTCCGCCTCTAATCTCTTATTTTCTTTTATGATCGACCGCACCCTTCTTTTCATTGTATAAAATCTTTCTACTTCACCTTCTTCTAGTGCATCCTGTTCATTGTCCACAGTTATTTCCATTATTAATGTATCTATTTTTTGTACCTCTTCTTTTAAATTCTCTTGTAAATCTTCATCGGTTTCGTCGTCTTCCAATAAATGATGAAGTTTTCCCATCCTAATTTCTATTTCTCTAATTTTTGTCGAAGACTTGTACGAATTTTTAATAAATTCCTCTAAAATCTTTTTCGTTTCTTCATATCTTATGAAAAAAAAAACTGGTCTTACTATGGACCAGTTTACCCTACGTGCCCAAACTATTCCAATTATTTTCTGTAAAGAATCATTTTCTCCAAGACATCTACTTCAGTAATCACAATATTTACTTATAATCTTTACAGAATAAATTGCGAAATCAAAATTAAAGAAACATAATATTGAGTAAATAGGTTTTGATAACTCATGAAATAACTGAGTATATTTTAAATGCAAAGTGGAGCAATCTACACTCAAAATCGAATTAGGTCCCTTATCTTAACTTGAACAAATTCATTAAATTTTAGTAATTTATAACATAAATACTTTAATTGATTCAATTCAAAATTGTTCTTAAACAAGGATATTGTACACCCTCTAATTTTCTTTGGTAATCCACTATTAATATTTTTCCACACTTATCAATATTGGGGTTAATCTGATATTGTACTCATAACCTCAAATATGGACATAAGTATCACTTTTTATTCAACTTCTGTTTCAGACCAATTTTAGAAGCCTTTAAGTCAGTTTGCCAAGACGCGTCTCCAGATTTGGCTAAAAAATGTGGGGATATCGAAGACATGCCTTTGTGTAAAATGAAACTGAAATATCCTGATATTATTTGTAGTCCAAACTTATCTTCTCCGTTTTATTATAAACTAGGAGGATTATCTTGGATTAAAGTCACTTTGCTGAACGATTTAATACAAATAATAAAGACATTCGAATCAACTAAGAATGGCAACCCGAACTATTATACCATAGTAGCTGGAAATACATCAAAAGGTAAGATATTATTTAGTAATAGTTCCAAGAATCGTTATCGTTCACGATGTTCAAATCTAGAATCCTCTCTAATTAGGTACATAATATGTTATCCTGATAATTTGATTTATTTTCACTTTTTTGTTAATTTCTTTTTTGGTTCTTACCTTATTTGTAACTTATTTGAACGTTTCCTTGCATGTGATGCTTCTTTTTACCAGTTATGTCCTGTGATCTTCTTAATAACATCCACCCATCTCATTTGTGGTCTTCCTCTGCTTCTCTTTCCTAACCATGGTCTCCATTGTTGTATTTGGTGGTTCCATCTCTTATCCTTCAGTTGAGCATTGTGTCCTGCGACGCTCCATTTTAATTTGACAGCATGTTCTCCTGCGTCTTTTACTTTGGTTTTAGCGTAGACTTGGTGAGTGTCTACGTCTGTGAACCATACGTGAGTGTAGTGAGGAGTCGCTGATCGCAAATTCTGGTTTTCAAATATTGTTCTATTTTAGTGCTTTTCAAGATAAAACTGTTTTTTAAAATTCTGGCCATGCTAACCTTTTTCTTCTGGTAATTTCGGCAGTTTCATTTTCTTTGTAAACTTTCATTATCTGTCTCAGGTAGATGTATTCGCTTACTGTTTCTAAATTTATGTCGTTCAACGTTATTTCTCTAATGTTCGGTGTATTTGTCATTATTTTTGTTTTTTCCTTTTGATGATTTTAAGTTCATCTTAAGACCTACTTTTTCCGAAGCTTGAAATAGTTGCGTCATCATGGTCTGTAGTTCTTCGAAACTTGTAGCGAATATTACAATGTCATGACTCAGTTTTCTTCCAGTAACATTTATTCCCTTATCTGCCCAGTTAATGTCTTTGAACACAAATTGATGGTATACAAGGCAACTATCGAACACAGTAATTAATTAAATCTTGCCCAAGTACTTTCGATCAATCGATCATCTTCAGGGGCATCTGAAATAAGCCAAGAAACGTTTTTTTATAAAAAGGAAAATTAATTCACTTGGATAAAAAACTCCAAGTTTATGGTTGAAAAAAGTTTTAATGTGATAAACGTTTATAGACTTACTTCGTCAGTTGTGGCCTATCCAACATTAGTAGAATGTCATACATGTAAATTTGGACATAACAATACAATACACAAAGACAAACAAACACTTTAAATTTTTTTAAAAAGGAGAAGCTACATGTTATATAGAAGCCGGAGACAGAATGGGCTCCCGGTCTGGCGGAAATATTGAGATGCCATGTGACAAATGACAGCTTGTAAAGGGCAGTTATGTGATCTGCACCTTTCAAAATTCTATGAAACTAAGTATTGACCAAAGGTCCAACTGATACCACTATAGGAAATCAACTGATGAAATATACAATTATATAGTATATTTTTTATGTAGATTGAATAATCCAAATCTCACACTCAAACCTGTCTATAATAATTAGGATGTTAGTTTGAGAGCAATTGAAGTTGACATAAAGTATGAGTGTAAGAAAAGACTAAACAATATATTAGACAGTGGATGGTTGACTACAATAAAATGGTCCACCAAGCACTATCAGTATTGTAAAAAAGGAAAAATGTACTTAAATTACTAAAAGTTAAAATCAAAATTGAAAGCAAAATATATAAATGGGTTATAATCCAAGTAGTTCAGTTGAATCCACAGTCAATGGAAGAACTTTAAAATTAATATTGAAATGCTCAGTGCATGAAGTCTAAACAGTCGAGCTGGGTCCTCTACGAGGTGAAGCTGTAATAAAGTTTTTAAATATAGGATTAAATTTAGTATAATTTAAATTGATTTGAGTATTAAGACAGTGAGAGTTTTCATTTGTTTCCTTTGTAATCTCCAAATCTTCCAATAAATCCAACTCAAGATAGTTTTTCTTTCTACTAATGTCATGTAAGATAGATGGACCAGAATTGATGTTAAAATTGTGGTTGCTGGATACTAAGGGTTGTACAGAGTATGAAGTAACACTTTATACATAAAGTACCAAAAGACAATTTCAGTGGGTTTCCCACTTCCATTACAATAATATGTATTCAAACAACCATAATTTTATTTAAGTAGGTACCTAATAAATAAAGATGAAATTATTGGGACGTGCTTACATCAGCCTTCATTAAGTTTTATTATATTTTGATTTGGGGAATAGGTACCTATTTAGATCATAATATTTATATAAAATATAGTGATCTGGCTGTGAAATAGATTACCTAACCATCATCTATATCTTCAGGGGTGAAGATATGTTTAATTCTTTTCAAATATTTTTTTGAATTTTTTTAAAGAATATTTTACAATTTGCACTGGAGTAAATATTCCTTTTTGAGTTATTTTTTCCCTTTTCCCGTTTTGTGTCAAAAATTCCCGCAAAAAGGGAAATTTCCCTCCGGTTGGTAACACTGCATGGATCTACGTATCGAAGATTGTTAACTAAAATTGCTTATACAGGATGTTTCAAAAAAAGATAACACCGTCTCTAGATTAGGTAAAAAAACTGAAACATAATTGGGGTTTGCTTAGTAAAAAATTTTAGCAACGCTATCAGTTTTCAAGATAAAGGGCGTCGAGGAAAAAAATAATACAATTTTTTTACGATTTTACTGAAAATACTGGCAACATTGTAATAAAATTTTATACGAATACGAATACTAGCTGACCCTGCCACGTGTCGCTGTATTTATACTGTGGCTAATATTATGTCACAGTATATTGCTAAAAGAATTCTTTTTAAGCAATATACTGTGATTATGTTTATTGAGAAATTATAAAGTTCTGAAATAAAAAAGGAGATTTGATGAACAAAATGAAACACGTGTTTACTCTATGACTGTAATTTTGCTACTACACTAAAAAAGGAAAGTGATACATTATTCAACTAGTAAAGTTGCCAATAGATGACACTGCTAGAAAATATTTAAATTTATTTATCTATATCCAAGACTCCCACTAGATAAACAAATTTAAAAAATATCATTTAACAAATATTTCTGACACTACATTAACTAAACCAATCTCTTTCAAAAACTTGTTGTGTTTTACAGGACTCAAGCTTTTTGCCAAGAGATCAGCTGGCATGTTAGCTGTGTCTAAATACTCCAGCTTTATCAAACCTTTGTTTACAGCTTCTTTGACAAAATGATATCGGATATCAATGTGTTTTGTTCTTCTATTCAATACAGGATTTATTGCTAGTTTCTGAGCTCCCATATTATCATTATATAGTATAACAATTTCATCAATACCCAACATTTCATACAACAAATTCTTTAAAAAAATAGCCTCTTTAGCAGCTTCCGATACTGCTATATATTCAGCTTCCGTGCTTGACAGAGAAAGACTATTCTGTTTTCTGCTTTCCCAACAATAGGTCCACCAGAAAACTGAAAATAGAAACCAGTATAAGATTTTCTGTCATGAGAATTACTCCCCTAACTCGCATCTACATAACCTTTTAAATAATTATCATTTTTTGAAAAACTTAATCCATACTCTTTTGTAGCCTTAAGTATTTTAATATTCGTTTTACATGCTTCTAATGCGTTTCTGAATGATAATTATTAAATTGACTGAGATAACTTACAGAATATGAAATGTCTGGTCTTGTCAAAACTGACAGATACATAAGACCACCTATTAAATTCTGATAAGGCACTTGAGGAGATGCTTTATCTTCTCTATTCAAACTTAAACTAATCTCCATTGGGGTAGCAGCTTCTTTTGAATCCTCCATATTGAACCTTTTTAACAATTGTTCAATATAGGATTTTTGATCTAGAGTTATAACACCATTCTCTTTATTACGAGTTACTCTCATACCTAAAAAATTCTTAATTTCTCCTAAATCTTTAATTTTGAAACATTCATTTAATTTCAATTTTAAATTATCTGATTCATCTGAATCGTTAGAAAAAATAAAAAAATCATCAACATAAACAGAGATAATGGTTTTTAGACTATTTTTCATCTTTGTGTACAGACATGGCTCATAATCAGATTTCTTATAACCTAGATTAATTAAGAAGTTATCGACTTTTTCATACCAAGACCTAGCCGACTGTTTTAAACCGTATATGGCTTTCTTAAGCCTTAAAATTTTGTTATTTTCAACTTCTAAACCTTCAGGTATAGTCATGAAAATATTTTCCTTTAGATCACCATTTAGAAAAGCCGTAGCTACATCAAGATGAAAAATATCTAAATTCAAATTTGCTGACAAAGCAAATAAAAGTCTTAATGTAGAATACCTTATGACTGGAAAAAATGTTTCATTCTAATCAACTCCAAACTTTTGAGTGTAACCCTTTGCACCAGTCTTGCACGATATTTCACTTTACCTAAGTTGTCAACCTTTCGTTTGTATACCCACTTACACTTCACTACACAACCATCTTCGGGAACATCAACCACTCCCCATGCTGCGTTACCCTGGAAAGACTGCAGTTCTTCTGTCATAGCCGCTAACCATAGATTACCATCTGGTCTTGACATGGCATCCTCGACACTAACTGGATCACAGTCACTATCCGAACACAAATAACTCACAAAATCATCAAAACTTTTTTTCTTAGGTATTCTGGTTGATCTCCTGATTTCATCTGGTAAGTTTGGCAAGTTACATATGTAATCAGGATCGTTGTCTTCAGCAATTTCATCAACCGATGTGTCCTTTTCATTATGATGATTTTGTTCCTGACATGATTCATGATTATCTCCCACTGAATCTGATAATCCTGACAACTCTTCATCAACTGTGATTGAAACATCAACTGATTTTTCATTTATTACTACATCCCTACTTATAACAATATCTTTTATTTCGGGATCATATAATCTGTAACCTTTAATGTTGTCACTATAACCAACAAGCACAGTTTTCTTTGATTTTCTGTCCCATTTATACCTTTTTTCTTTCGGTATCAGCATCATTACCTCAGATCCAAAGATTCTTAGATGACCAACTTCAGGTTTTTTGTTGGTCCAAATTTCTATCGAAGTTTTAGTCACACCTGTTACAATTGAACGGTTTCTTAGATAGTAGCGTTATAACTGCTACATTGCCTGCTTTCTTTCTTATGTTAATATATTTCGTTAATACTATTCTCCAATTTCCGTATCTTCTGTCATAATTCATATTCTTCTATATCCTCCATTGTATCTCTTATTTTTCTATATATTTTCTAGGATATAGATTGTATCAGAATTATGTCGTTACTTAATTGATTCATTATTCTCTTTTAATTTTTACTGGTATTTGGTATAAAACCAGTTGGCGTTCAAATCTATCTTCTTTATATATATATATATATATATATATATATATATATATATATATATATATATATATATATATATTTTTAGTATCTACCTTTCCTATTTTCTTAATAATCATCATTTTTATCTTTTACTCAAGTTTCTAAAGAGTGAATTTTATTTTCATCTCTATTTCCGTTACTTTGGAACGAGAGGTCCCATCTTTATTCTCTGTGACATTTCTCCTTCCCGTTCGATACAAAAGTCCATATAATCGCTTTTATTTCTGAAAAGGTCGATTTTCTTCATGACTTCTCTAAGAATAGAATAATCAATTGTTGTGTCGTCTCCAGATTTGGAGTCAACCTCCGGGATACATTTCTCAGGTGCGGGTCAAATTCTATTAACATCCAGAAGACCAACCGGCCTGAGAATAGAACCATTATTCCAATAGGAGAGTTGACTCCGAGACAAGGAAATCCAAAACTACCAACATGGCTTGCTAACAACCAGAGCAGAAAAGAACAGGATAAAACTTAGGATTTGGTGACAAAAATTGTTCTTTCATATACCTAATGTAACACTGTAGCAAGAAGTCGAATAATTTTTATTTAAATTCAATACGATATTTAACATTTATTTTTCTGTTTTTTTTTTATTTCAATAAATATGTGTTAATTTAACTGTGTATTGTTTCTTCTTTTTACTTGTTTGTGTGTGTTGCTCCAGAGTAGGCCATATTCACGTCCTGAGTGAGCTAGCCAGGGAGTGTTTCGCATAACGTCTAATGTAGCAATTTGCAATTGATACATTAGGGTTATGACGTTAAAAATTGGTCCCAACGGGAAACGATTTGTCACTTCAACGTTGTTAGTGATGTTAGTCAGGTTGTAGCAGCAAACGTAAGGTTTGCGGTTACAGGTTGACAACAGCAGCTCAACGTTGGGATGTTACAAATTGAGCCTCGAAGGGTTACAAATTGGCACCCAATGAATATTTGTTGGCACGTCACAGAGTGACGTCCAATGAATGTTCGTTGGAACGTTACAAATTGGCGCCCAACGTGGGGCGCAATGTGATGCTGCAAGTGTGACTGCTTCAGCCCAATATATCTTTTCGAGGCCAAGGATTTTTCTTTGGGAATTCTACCTCTGTATAATGCTGCAGGTAATCTGACAGGAAAAGTTTTCCCTTCAAATTCAGAATGTCTTATGTTGTAAAATATATTTTTGTTTGTATATTTAATTGTCTTTACGTCAATAATCTGGGGATCTCCGACTTTTTTTCCAGGTCCTATTGATGAGATAAAATTTTGATTACCTTCAGTGTTTTTGAAAAGATCATGTGATAAGTACTCTACTCTATAGAGTAAAATTGTATTCATCTTGTGAAATATTCTTTGTCTCAAAAGCTACACTAACATCGCACTTATCCTTTTTAGGCCGCTATAAAGATAAATTTTGCTTATCAAATATTATTGAAAATTTGGCTCTTATATTTGAAAATACAGATCGCGACATTGTTGACCATACAATACAATGGCAAACGCTGTGACATGTTACACATTTCCACCTCTATATTCATTATACAGTAGGTACGAATTGTCGTAATTGTCACATTGACATTAAAAATTTCAAACAAGGTTCTGAAAGAATAAACATATAATTAATAAAATGCCTATTACGTTGTATACCGTCCAAGAAAAAGTGCAACTTGTAACATGGTACTTTCAGAGTCATTCGATACGCGAATTATATGATTTATTTATTATTGTTGCCTTCGAAAATAGACCCCCACCAAGTGTTACAACAGTTAAAAATACCATTAAACATTTTCAAACTTCGTGATGTGTAAACAGTTGTAAAAAGTGTCATGAAGGTAATGAACCACGTATTAGACCTGTCGATGAGGAGAGTCAAAACAGGGATATTGATATTTGTGATTTTGTGAAAGCGGTTACCTACCCACCATTGGAAAATATAGCCTCCATAACGAACTCCATGTCGAACAACAATGGAACACGCTTAATACACCTTGCGGCCTCAATGAATATGATGATAGCCAGCACATGCTTTGAGCGTAAAAATATACACAAATGCACTTGGGTTAGCCCAGACGGTAACACAATCAATCAAATTGACCATTTTGTTGCGGACGCAAGACATTACAGTGATGTTATGAATGTACGTACCAGACGTGGAGAAAACAGTGACTCCGATCACTATTGGACGAGGCTAAACTAACTTCAACTGCACAACTGTTAGTTTGTAAGACAATCATATTTAAAAGTTCATCGTCAAACAACAGCCTAAGCCCTAAACCAATCGTACGCACTATCACCAGGACTATCGACTAACAATCCACTTCTTTTTGTAAATGGAAGTTGTTTCATACCACTAGATGTTTCGGTCCAATAATTTTCTGTAGTGTGTACGTAAGGATTATTTGCAACGGTATTATTTAACTCGTTCTGTAACGAGTTTCTTCCGAAACATTTTCAATTTCAACTAAAAATATTAATTCACATTCAGGGATTCACTCCCCGCCTCTCGACGCGTTAGTGTTCTGAGCTGTTGGACGTGAATCCCTGTCCTGTCATTTGGTTTTCACCTCTGGCTGCGTTAAGTAATTGAGTTACTGTAACCAAATGCTCAACTTGGTAGTTAGTATTCGCCTCTGGTTGCGTTGAGTAACTGAGTTACCGTTGCTAACTACCCATCTTCCTGTCTTTTGATTTCTTTTTCTTTGTTCTCCTGAAGAAGCTACATACAATTGTAGCGAAACGTCGAGATGAACCCACTTTTGGGTCACTCACAAATGACACGGTCCAAACCCGGAAGACGAATAAACTATAATTCTGACTCTGGCCGTGGAAGCCTACGATTCCATTTAAAAATATTAATTTCAGACTAAAGTCACTGAGCTGCGATGTCACCTATGAATAGAAGTTACCTTTAACAAAATGCGGGCAAAGTTTTCTTAAACTCCTGAAACTGTGTCAAATTTAAATGTATAAGGAAATCACCATATACATAGGCCGCTCATGTGCGCCATACGCATTTTTCAAAGAAATGGGAGGACGCGCATGTACGCTTTACGCAGTGAAAGGGTTGATAACATTTAATTGCAAAGCGGTCTTCTTAGGTGGAAAATACTTTAGGAACTACTTCACTCACTATTGCTGACTGTTCGTTGTTTGCTGCATCTCTAGCACAGGCATCTGTTTCTTCGTTTTCTAGAATACTTACATGCGATGGGACGCAAAGTATAATGATGCCGGTGTTTTTTTGGTGTAAAATATCTAATTCATATTGTCCTGAAGCTATTTTCTTGCGGCATGTTAATGCAAATACAATTTTTATATGGAATAAGCCATAATTTAAGTCCAATTCAATAAATGTATTCATCCTTTTGGAATTTTTTCAGAATGGTAAAAATTAAATTTATATACTGAGTGTTCTTTATAAAATTTAACAAAGGAAAGGAATATTGGACAAAATATGACGTATAGGATTTTTGACACGTTACAATCTGTTGATCTATTTTTTTTGTAATCAATACTTTGATTTCGAATAAGCTTTCTCCCAAGCTAAGTACATTTCTGAAGTTTAAACAATACTTTTAAAGTATTCTATGAGACTAATGAAACTAATCATTATACAATTTTTAGGAGTATATAAAAAAGAAACTGAATACAATGTTTACGTAGATATACAGGATGTTCCTGAATTAAAATCTATCAGATTAGTTGACAATGGATTACGCGTAGGTGCAAATATTACATTGACTACTGCAATCAGTACATTTAAAAAAATGTCACAAAGTATACCACAACTAAAATATTTGAAGAAACTAGCTGACCATATTGATTTGGTGGCAAATGTACCCGTAAGAAATGTAAGTAATATAAGTTATTTTTTGTTCAGTATTTTATTTGGAACAATTTAATTTTTTTTTGTTTTTTTGCGCATTTATTTTGTTATGATTACTTTAGCCTTTTTTTGTTAATTTATATCTTTAATCATTCTTTTTCTTCTATTTATATGTTTAGGATTTTCTGCATTTTTTGCTATCGTAATTAACATTGTTCTGAAGCTATTTTCTTGTGGCATGTTAAATTAATTACTATTTAACTGGGAATAAGCCACAATTAAAGATAAAAATACGTTATAGACGACTTTAAAATGATATTGTCAATATTGTTGAGTTGCGCTCCTGGGACGACTTTACTTATAAGATAGTTCATTCGATTACATGAAATCAATTTTAACTTGAGAATATCCGTCAGAAAAAAATCATAGCATGTAATTCGTCTTTAAAAAGACAAACACATGACATGATGACAGTAAAATTCTCCTGTTAGTGATTCCATAGTAAATTATGAGGGAAAAAACCAGGAAAAAAACCTCATAATACTATCCCGACATGGTAAGTATTTGTTCGTGCATTTAGTTTACCTTCAATAAACACCAAAATTCTGATTTTATATGTTTCGTTATTTAAAAAACATAAATGATGTATCCTCTATATGTTACTGACTTACTAATACTGGTATTTTCTTATTAATAACTTCCTTTTTCAATATTGGTAACCAGATCCTACTACATTCTGCCGAGGAATTTGCGACACAATTGGCCTCATTTAGCATAATTAGAGCCGCTTCTTTGATTTTTCTTTTTTTACCATCCGTTTCTTTTAGGACTACATTTGAATTATTCCATTGAACCCTATGTTCATTATCCCATGCGTGTTTACATATTTGAGATCTATCAAATTCTCTATTTTTAATATAAGATTGATGTTTACTTATTCTAACATTTATTGCCCTTGATATTTCACCTAAATAAAACTGATCGCATTCACAAGGTATTTTATAAATGCAATTCTTTGTCCTTTCTTGTTCATTGTGAGGTTTGGTTTTGGACAAAATAGATCTCAAAGTGTTTGTTGTTTTGAATGTTGTTAAATAAATGTTGTTAAATAAATTTATCAATGAAAATTTTGAAGTTTTCACAGGGTCAGGCAAGTTTCCTGGCACATATGAAATTACAACAAATGATAAATTTGAACCAGTTTGCTATCCACCTACCAAGTGTCCAATAAAAATTAGAAATTCACTTAAAACTGAGCTAGATAGATTAGTCCAAAGAAAAGCAATTGTTAAGGTAGAAAACATAGACCCCAGGGCAAGTATTAATAGAATGGTGATAGTCGAAAAGAGTAATGGTAAATTAAGAATATGTTTAGATCCCTCAGATCTGAATAAACATATAGTACGCAAACCTAGAGTTGGGGAGTCCATTGAGGAAATATGTTCAAAATTATTAAACAAAAATGTATATTCTGTTTTTGATTTATCTGAAAGTTATCACCAACTTTCAATTGATGAAAATTCTTCATGGAAATGTTGTTTCTCTACACACTATGGAACTTACAGGTTTTCAGTTTTACCTTTTGGGTTATCAAATTCTCAAGACCTTTTTCAAGAGGCAGTTGAAAAGCATTTTGGTGATATTAAAAACATTGTAGTTTGTCATGATGATATGATCATAGCAGGGGCGTCTCAAGATGAACATGATCAAGCGGTCAAAGAGGTGATAAATAAAGCAAAAGAGGTGGGTGCTAGATTTAATAAAGAGAAAATTCAATTTAGCAAAAAAGAAGTAATGTTTATGGGACAAATTTTTTCTCGTCTAGGAATGAAAGTAGATCCTGAGAGGACAGATGCTTTATGTAAATTAGAAACTCCAAAAAGTAAATTAGAGTTACAAAGAATAATAGGTTCCTTTAACTATATTAGACGTTATGTTAAAAATATGGCTGAGCACATGCAAATTTTATGTGAACTTTTAAAAAACAATGTAGAATGGCAAGGTTGCCTAAACACCAGGAATGTTTTGATAAGTTAAAGAAAATAATTTCAAATTCTCCAGCTCTGGTACCATTTGATCCAAATAAAAAGATGGTTTTGCAATGTGATGCATCCAAAAATGGAATTGGGTGTTTTATGTTTCAAAACTATGATGGTATGTTGAAATTAGTTGCATGTTCATCTAGGTCTATGAATGAACATGAAATAAATTACAGCCAGACAGAGAAAGAGTTATTAGCCATTTTTTATGGTACACAAAAATTTCATAACTTTATTTACCAGTGTGATGTTGATGTCCAAACAGATCATAAACCAATAATTTCAATTATGCAGAAACCAATATGCAAAATTGGGTCAGTAAGGTTGCAGCGTTTAAGGCTAAAATTATTAAAGTACATATTAAATATTTATTATGTTCCAGGAAAGCATATTCAATTTGCAGATATGCTTTCTAGAGCTAGTTTAAAGGCACAAACCCTTGATTTAGAGATGTTTGATATGGTTCATTCAGTCTCACTATACTTACCAATGACAGATAAAAAAATATATCAGTTCAGAGAAGAAACCTCTAGAGATAAAGTTTTGGCTACAATTGTTGATTTTTATTATAAAGGCTGGCCTAAAGAAAACAAGATTCCAGAGTATATAAAGCCATATTACAGTATTAAAAATGATATATATATATATATATATATGTTGAAGCAGGAATTGTTTTTGTTGAAAATAAAATAATTGTACCAAAATCTCTAAAACAGGAAATGATTACTCTGTTACATAAAGGTCATATAGGAACTAGTAAAACTATTAATAAAGCAAGATCTTTATTTTTTTGGCCAAACCTTAGGGATTATATTGTCCAGTTTATAAAAAAAATGTAGAATTTGTGAAAAAATTCATGCCAAATAATTATAGAGAGCCAATGTTAGCACATTCAATACCAAAATTGAGGTTTAATAAAATTGCGGCTGATATTTTGGAATTTGGTGGTAAATCTTACTTAATTCTAATAGATTATTTTTCCCATTGGATAGAGATGCTATCATTAAATAATAAAACATCTGAAGCCATAATAGATGCAATGCAAGATGTTTTTTCCAGATTTGGCTATCCTCAATTTTTAATTGCAGATAATTTACCATTTATATCATTTAAGTATAAAAAATATTACGATAATAAACAAATTACAGTCCCGACATGTTCACCTCATTACCACCAAAGTAATGGCCTTGCTGAAAAGGCTGTAGGAATTTGTAAACAAAATTTAAAAAAAAGTTTTACAGAAAACTCTGATTATCGTGAGTTAGTTTTAGAATATAATAATACTCCTATTATTTCATTAAGTGCATCTCCATCACAAATATTAAATAGTAGATCTTTGAGAACAGAAATACCAGTAAATAGTGAACAATTACAACCTAAAATTCAGAATGAGATTTATAAACTGTTATCGGACCAACAACAAAAAACAAAAGTTCAGTATGATAAACATAGTAAACGTACACCAACAACTTATAAAAGGGGGATAATGTAGTTGTTAAGAGTAGTGTTGATAAAGTATGGTATAAAGCTGTTATTGTAGAAAAAGCTAAAGAACCCAGATCGTACTGGATAAGAAAGGAATGCAATAATAGGATAGTTAGAAGAAACACAAGACACATAAGACCATCACATACAAAATCAGATGTAGCAGATATGTATCTTGAACCTGAGTTGTATCCACACACAAACCCAAATAGTTATAAGGATAATGATAATAATGATTTAAATAATGTATGTATTCAGGATAATGATTTAACAAATTTGTTTAATGAACATAGGAATACTGATATTGTAAGTCCTCATTATAGCTGCTCAAAAAATAATGATAGTAAGAAATGTAATGTTTCAAAATTCGGACGTACAATTAAACCTAGGGTACGCCTTAAGCTTTAAGGGGAAGGTGTTTGACATTAATGTAAGATAGGCTTAACGTAAACCTGGTAACTATGTCAAATATGTCAATGTCAAGTCAACACCACTTCCCAACGGGGACAATGGGCGACATGATCATGTTGTAATGTATGAATATTATTAATATATGTTCAGCCAATACAGTAGTTTAATTGAGACCTTATTAATATACCTTAAACAGAAATGTAGAATTTATTTTCTATCCTTTTAAGTTTTTATGATAATCCTTTTATGTACGGTATTGTGATTTTCCTCGTATTATTCCTTGTGTATGCTGTAGGATCTCGTTCTAAGTTGTTCTGTTCTATTCGATCGATTGTTGAAAATTCCCTATTTATAAACGATAAAGGATACTTATTTTTTAATAAAACAGATGTTAACAAATGTTTCTCCTCCAAGAACGAATTTTCGTTAGAACAAGTAATTTTGGCTCTATCGTATAAGGATTTAATTATTCCATTTTTTACATTAATTTTGTGATTTGATTTGAAATTTAAATATCTATTGGTGTGTGTTGGTTTTCTATACACCTGAGTCTCATATCCAGTATCGTTCTTAGAGATTAAAACATCCAGGAAAGGTAGCGTGTTATTATATTCTTTTTCCATGGTAAATGTTATTGTCTCTTCTTTGTCGTTTATATCATTTAGGAACGTGTCCAACAACTCTGATCCATGAGGCCATATTGAGAACACATCATCTACATACCTCCACCATACTGTGGGTTTTAAATTTTGTTTAGAAATGATATTTGTTTCAAAATTTTCCATAAATAAACGTATTTTTATCTTTAATTGTAGCTTATTCCCAGTTAAATAGTAATTAATCGTAATTAACGCTGAAACAGAATTACTTGAAGAACTAGTAACGAGCACTAACATATCAAAAAAGAAAACCCTGTGGTTTAGAGAGGAATTGAAGACAAAATGTGAAGAAAAGAAGAAAGCCTTTTTAAAGTACAGAACACAACAGGCATATAACCACACTACAAAGGAGTCAAAAATGAAACGAATACGTTAGTTAGACACATAAACATGAAACACTGGCAGAGATTCTCAAAATAGATGGAACACGACTTCTACAGACCACAAAAAGAAATATAGAGAAGCATCTGAGGACAAAGAAAAGAGATGAACCAACTAATAAAAACAAAACACGTTTAGAAAGTAAGTTGGGCAGATTACTTTCGATCCCTATTTGCTAAAGTTAATCATAATGAACCACCAATACCAGAGGTGATGACAAAACGAAGAAATAAATATTGAGGAGCAAGAGGTAAATGAAGCATTAAGGAAATTAAAGAATAGAAAATCACCAAGAAAGACAGAATACCGAACGAACTTCTAAAGTATAGAGGACCACATCTGACGAAACAACTAATAAAACTGTTCTGAAGCTATTTTCTTGTGGCGTTTTAAATTAATTACTATTTAACTGGGAATAAGCCACAATTAAAGATAAAAATACGTTTATTGACGTTTCAACTTCCACTTCGGAAATCGTTCTCAAAATACAAAGATCTCTACACAGGAAAACAGTTCTCCTGAAACATCAAGACGAAGCAGAACTAATCTGACTTGACAATGGCAAGTGTGACCTTGCCGAAACGTCGTCAAAACAATGGTTTTTTTAAAAACCAAAATTACTTAACGCGGAGTCAAACCCGGAAAACAACTGAAATCACACACACATATATATATATATATATATATATATATATATATATATATATATATATATATATATATATATATATATATATATATAAGTAAATTGAGATTGCATGATTTGTTGATTTGGTTCATCATATATATATAAATATATATATATATATATATATATATATATATATATATATATATATATATATATATATATATATATTATATATATATAAGTAAATTGAGATTGCATGATTTGTTGATTTGGTTCTATTGTTTCATTCATGTCAATCATTCTATTATTAGGATTGTTACATAAAAATTTGTTAATTAGTTTAATTGGGTATGAATTCTCTATTAAAATGTCTTTCAGTTCTATTAACCCTTTGTTGATGTTATTGGTGTGTGATAATTTGACTATTCTGTTTTTTAAAGCCAATATTAAATTTATTTTCATATGAGGTGGATGTTGGGAATGATAATTAATAAATCTGTTACTAAATATAGGTTTTCTGTACCATTCAGTGCTTAATATATTTTGTGCATTTCGTTTGATTCTTATGTCAAGGTATGGGATGCTATTATCTATCTCTTTTTCACATGTAAATTGTAAATGTTCACTATAATTATTAAAAGTTTGTAAAGTTTCATTTATTTTGTCTGCAGGTAAAGCAGGTATTAAGTCATCTATAAACAAATTTTTGGCACACCTATGGGCTCAAGTATATCGTGTATATTATGTAATTATGTACTAGACGATTTAATAAGAGATTATTTAAATAAGTTGCCTTTTCATATCCCGTTTATCAAACGTTTTGTGGATGACTTAATACTTGCTTTACCTGCAACATGGTGGATGGTGGATGGTGGATGTGGATGTCCCAACATCCACCTCATATGAAAATAAATTTAATATTGGCTTTAAAAAACAGAATAGTCAAATTATCACACACCAATAACATCAACAAAGGGTTAATAGAACTGAAAGACATTTTAATAGAGAATTCATACCCAATTAAACAAATTAACAAATTTTTATTTAACAATCCTAATAATAGAATGATTGACATGAATGAAACAATAGAACCAAATCAACAAATCATGCAATCTCAATTTACTTTCACATCACTACCTTACATACCAACATTAACACCCAAATTAACTAAAGTCTTTGCTAACTATTCTCATATTAAAATTGCATCTAAAAATGTTAAGACATTAACATCATTATATACAACAACTAAATCACCTATTAGCATTATGGAAAGCTCAAATGTAGTTTATAAAATACCATGCCAAAATTGTGATAAGTCATACATCGGACACACATCTAGAAATCTAATAGGTAGACTAACATCACATAAAAGTGACCTTAGAAATAATAAAAATACGTGTGCATTAATAGATCATGCAATTAATAATAATCATTCATTTAATTTTAATGAAACTAATATATTAAGACGTGAAAACCAATTAAATAAAAGAGAATTTTTAGAAATGGTATGCATAAATAAATATCAATGCGTTAATAAAAAAACTGATATTAACAAACTAAGCAATATCTATAATTACATTCTATCTTACGAAAATTAATACTTTAATTTTTTAATATATGATTTTCTGACTATAAATACTATATTTTCAAAAATTTAAATATTCATATTTGGCGCCACTTTTTACGTAAGCATAATAACAATCTAGAGCTAGTTATCAATAACAAAAACAGACACGAGTGTCTTTCTGACATAAATCAAACATCATTATAATAATCAATGTCATATTATTTAAAATTAAAATATTGTACTTACATAAAAATATAATTTAGATAAGTTAAGAATGTTTTGTGAATTTAATAATTTAATGGTTTAACCTCATGTTGTAAGTTTTTATATTAGTTTTATACAATGTTTTTTTAATTCTAATTTCATTGTATTTACCATAACATATTTTAGCATATCCTGATGAAGCAAATAAATTTTGCGAAAGGTTGATTTAAGAACAAAGAGTTTAACTTATCCTGCCCTACTTAAATGACTGCATCCTCAAAATAAAACTTTATTTACATAACGTGTCAGTCAATAATACCTAACTACTTTATATATAAATTTATATATATATATATATTATATATATATATATATATATATATATAAATTTATATATATATATATAAATTTATATATATATATATATATATATATATATATATATATATATATATATACACAATGTATAAAATATCTTTTGTATTCGCTAAAAGCTATGGTTGATGCGATATTCTTCTCTAAATAAAAAAAATAGATTGTCTAAGATTAGATTTTTTGTTTTGTAGATAGGAACGTTAGCTGGAAACTTAATGATTAAACACAAGAATAACGAATTTCCATCAGATATATTTCTGGTTTTAGAAACTGTTAATGCGACATTACAAATAAGTAAGTTCTACGACTTATGACTAAATTAATTTACGCACATTGACTTGGCCTTGTACCTAACAAGTTTTTTAAATTTTATGAACCTCAATAGAACATCTCGATGGTTCCTAGAGTGGGTTCGATGGATTTTTGAAGTGAATACTTCTTATTTCTCGGTATGGTGATTTTGCACGGGCCCGAAATAATGTTTAGCGTGGCGCTAATGACGCGTGCCGTAACCTTGCGGTATACACAGTAATTATTATACATACATATTCGCTCCGTGTGTGACTAACGCGACACCTACCGCCTTCATCTGATAGTTTTGGACTTCCCAATTTGAAGATTAACATATGATAAATACATACGAAATTGACAATTATTAATAATTAGTTTTTTAATAATATTTTTCCAGTTTATGTATGAAATTGATGTAGTATTAAGAACTGAGTTTCTAAAAATTCATCATAATTTATCTTTTCAACTCCAAACGAAAAAAAGGGAAAAATCTAGTAATGGCAAATCACGTTTGTCGTGTGGAAGAGCCTGTAAATAAAAACAATAATAGTAAAAGTATGAAATAAAAGCTCAAGTCATAAGGCAGGCTGCAGTTAGCTGCAGACTGATGTTATGAAACATCATTGAAGGTATTTTGAAAGCATATCATGCTTTCCGTGCTTATGGTATAATGAAGCTGATTTTTATTAATTAACTTTAATTATTTTTGGAAGAATCTTCTTCCAATTCCTGGCTGTCTCTGAGTCTCTTGGTGAAGAGGGCGGATGGTCATTGTCATTGGTATTGTCAATTCCTATCTTGTATCTTCTCTTGGATATGCATTTGCATATGACGTAAAGAACAACAAGAGTCACAATGACGACTATTGTTAAGATCCTGAACCAGCTCAGATGTTTGTTGACGAATGGTTCATTGATTAGTTTGTCGAGTTCTTCAGAATACTGCATAAGCGGTATTTGGACTGGGTGACTTCTGTAAGTAACATTGTCATGAACGTCGATAAATTTCTGGGAGTGTACTCTTGTACTACCAATAAAGGCATCGCACGTGGATTGTAGTTTGAGTACATGGTTGGTATGAATGATCTCCGATTTGACGTCTCTGGACTCGCATTTAATGGTAATAGGCAGTGGGTCAGAAACTGTTATGAGTCACAGGTTTATATTGAGCTTCTGTACGTTGTAATCTTTGGCGAATACTACGGAAGTCTGACATGTTCTGAGAAGGCGTTGTTGTCATTTCAGAAGTTGGGCTTCGCATATGGCATCGCTGTCGATCGGGTATGGAAGTGTGTTGTAACAGATTTTGGTTCGAGCTCGCAAGGTTTTGCATGACTCAAGACTATTTATTATAAGGTATAACAATGAATGGAATGCTGGGCAGGTCACGTAGCTCGATATAATGACAACAGGTGGACACGGAGAATTCTAGAATGGAGACCAAGGACGACAACAAGAAGAATGGGAAGACCTAAAAAAAGATAGGTAGATGACATAAGAGCAGTGGCAGGCAAACAGTGGATTAGATTGGCGCAAGATAGAGAAAGATGGAAGCAATTGGGAGAGACCTACATTCAGGAGTGGATGGAAAATGGTTGACAAAGAAGAATAACAATGAATGATTGTTGCAATGCATTTATGTATTGTTGTTAATATTGAATGAAGACCTGTTCGATTATCCAGTATTGGTATTGGATAGAGACGATATAAAGAACATTGTTTTACATCAGTAAAAGGAATATTTAAGACAAACACATTTCTTGTGTCTAGTTGATAGGCTTTTAATCCGATAATATCGAGATATTGAGCTAGATTTGAAGTTTGGATTGATAATGGAAGATTATTTTTTTTTTGTAATGATTATGATATATGCCTAAACGAATTAATAAAATCAAACGGGGTGATGATTGAGCTATGTAATATTTTTAATCGAGCAAAGGTTATGGCATTTACTATATCATTTAACGAGTCTTCAATAAATGATTAGCTTTCCATTAGTAATTCACACAAGTCGACTTGCATATCGACTTGAGATTGATAAAATTTTAATTGGTCAGATATATCTATTATTGACCCTCGAATTTCTTAAACATTATTGTTAAATGTTTCCTTATCTATTTGTAATTTTCGGATTGTGGCGTTGAAGTTCTTAATAACAGAAGTGGTAACCGATATTTTATTTTCAATAGGTTTTCGATTTGATACTTATCGCGGGTTATCTTATTTATACATTCATTGAAATATTCGCCATCTGACGAGTCTAAGTTTCCTCTTGGAATTTGTATTGTTGGCATCAGCCATTACTTCTGTATATTTGAGATTAACAGAACTAGAGATTTGTTTGAGAAGACTATGTGAGTTTGGATTTCGGAGTTGAATGCCAGCATTCGAATAAATTTTCCAAGATTTTGTCATTTATGATATATATATATATATATATATATATATATATATATATATATATATATATATATATATATAAGCGAGGTTCCTACAGCTTCTGCCGCCTCTCACATTTCGACCGCCATCGTTTTCTGTCCATCCATTCGTCTTCTTTGATGGCTCTTTCTCTCATTATGCGTCGTACAGTTTCTTCCCAGGCAACTGAAGGCCTTCCCCTTCTTCTTCTTTGCTATGGTATGTAATTTAAAGCTTTCTTTGGTCATCTATCTTCATTCATTCGCTTCACGTGACCATACCACACTAGTTGTCTCGGTTCAATTCTGTCTACACTGGAATATACATTATTTGTCCTTCTTGTAATATCTTCATTCCTGATATGATCTTTTTGGATACACCACGCTCTTCTTAGAAAAGCCGTTTCTACTACTCCTATTCTTTTTCTATCTTTTTTCGTGATCTGCCAAACTTCTGCCCCATAGGTCATAATAGGCTCTACCAAGGTTCGATAGATTGTCAATTTCGTTTCTTGTTTAATATCTTTAGACCATAGTACAGAGTTTAGAATGTTAACCGCTTTTTTCCCTGCTGCGTTCTGTTCTCGATATCTCTTTTGGTAGTGCCTTCTTTAGATATTATAGATCCGAGATATTTATATTCCTTGCATGTTTTTGTGTTTCTAATTTCTAATTCTGGATCTTCTTTATCATCTCCTATTTTAAGATACTCTGTCTTTGACATATTCATATTGAGGCCCCATTTTTCATATTCTTTCTTTAGTTTTCTAAACATGTAGTCCATGTCTTCCTCATCATTCGCTACGACTACCTGATCATCTGCGAAAAATAAAGTTGTTAGACATTTACCATCGCCTATGTCTATTCCCATTCCGGATACTTGTTTCCTCCACTGCTCTAGCGATGATTAAATATATATTTTAAATAAGGTCGGAGATAGACAACATCATTGTTTAAGCCCCTTTGTTATTGGAAATGATTCAGATATAAAGTTTCCTTCTTTAACAACACTTCTTGCATTTTTGTATATATTTGCGATAGCATCCACATACTCGCTACTAAAACCTACTTTCGTCAATGTTTGAAACAGTTTTTTCAAAGGTACCGTATCGTATGCCTTCTCTAAATCTACAAACAATAGGTGGGTAGATAGATTTCTTGCCTTCCGTTTTTCGATTACCTGCTGTAAAACGAATATACCATCAGTGCACGATCTTCCTGCACGAAATAAATTTTGTTCTTCTATGTCTTAGTATTCTGATTATATTCTTTTTATTATTAATCGACCGTACAACCTCCCCACTGAGCTGATAACAGTTATTCCCCTATAATTAAAGCATTTGCGTTTATCCCCTTTCTTGAATATTGAGCTGATGTATCCAATATTCCAACCATGAGCGATATTTTGTCCTTTTAAGCATTTGTTAAATAGTTAAACCAACATCACTTGTAATATTTTTGGTCCATACTTTATCAAGTCAATTGGGATGTCTCCAGGTCCTGCTGCTTTATCGTTTTTCGATCTTTTGAGGGCATCGTTTAACTCTCCGGTTATTATCTCACTCATTTGTGTGTGTTCGGATATTTCTTCCATTTCGATCTCTTGGAATTTACATCTATCCTCTGTCAGTAAGACCTCATAATGGTGTTTCCACTGTTTCAGATCTATTAACTGTAAGTTAGATTTTTCCTTTTATTTATGTTGATAATGTCTCTGATTGGTTACATGTACTTATATACAAGCAGGGTCCATTTCTCGTTTGAAATTTTAAGATTGGTTTCTTCGTAAAAAAAGATTCCAACGGTGTTGTGAATTGGGGTTAACGTATACTGGGAGTGGATGATTGGAATCAGTCGGAGGAATATTAGTTCCAAAAACATCAAGTCGTCTTGTTCTCTACAGCTGTTCTACCAGGAGATTCACTTGGTGTTCCTTCCCTAGATTTCTGCAAAGTTAGGACGCCACTGCTTTTTTCAGTTTAAAGTTGGTCCTTTTCTGATTAAAAGATTGGAATCCACCATTGTCAGTTAAGTTTTTTTTGTTCTGTCAACGTTTCCAGATCCTACTGACTGCGCCACTTTTTATCCGAAAAATCACGAGACAGCTTTTGACTTTTTAAAAAATAATTTTATATTAAACACAATGAGCAAAAAAACGTGTTACAATTTTAATTATGATGAACAAATAATGAATAATGAATAAAGAGCGACAAATATTTCGGGTCCGTGCAAAAACATCAAACCGAGCAATAAGAGTATTCACAAAAATGTTAAACAAGTAAAAAATATAAGTAAAAATATAGCTTTTTGCAGATCGGTACAGACTTGTATGTTGTGATAAACAGGCCAACTATTATCCTGGTCGCTAATTATAATAATAATTTTTTTAATTTATTTTTTTTTATTTTTAAAAATAACTAGTTTCTAAATCTGATTTCTCCCAGCCTAGGTCTACGTAAAATAAATTTCAAATGTTGATTTAATTTTAGTTGATACAGAAGAAAACGAAAAACTTATCAAACCAAGAGAATTTTTAAAAATGGATATGGAGAACAGGATTATCAAGAGTATTTTTTTGCCATACCTGTCAAAAAATTATTATTTTGAAAGTTTTAAAGTAAGTAGTTACTAAATACGATCTATATCTATATAATGCACTATCAAAATCACTGCAGTATTCAATATTTAATAAAGTACTATGTTTCTTTATTCCATCTTTTTTATTTCTACAGTCGTCTCTTTAATTTTCTTGTCGTATGGTCGGTTCATCCTCCAAGTTATTTGGAGTTTCAGGATGGTTTCCGACCGCCGCTCTGGAGGAGGAACGAAGGTTTTTCGATTCCATCCTCTTGTTCGTGAAGTTACGTGTCCTTGACTTATAGTCAGCGTGAAGCTCACCTTAGGCTCTGTTGTCAGCCAGGTATTACCGGCAGTGTAGAATATTTTGACAGTTCGAATTTCTTACGTGAATTGTATATATCCGAAAGAATTTTAAGGCAGTTTTTTGCTAAAAAATGGAATGGACAAACGAAGTTATTTTTGATTTTTTAAATATATATCAAAATGAACCAAGTTTATGGAATTCCACCGCGCCAGAGCATAAGAACCGGAACGATGCATACGATGCATGGAAATGAATAAAAAATCAATTGAAGAATAGTACTATTTCGATTAAAGAATTAAGAAAGAAAAGAGATAATTTAATGTCGACATAGACTGTCACAGACTGTCACGGACCGTAGGAAGAGCTATGGCTGCTGTGTGTTGGCGTCCGTGCTGATCGGCTGTCCGCGATGATCTGTAGAATCGCCGATCGAAGGAAGCCACTATTATAGTCACGCACAGACCCGTAAAATGATCTTTATGGCAAGGCCGTAAAGATCCATTACCAGTAAAACTACCTTTTATTTACAAAGCAAATTAGAAGGTCAAATAAGAGGTATAAATTTGAATAAAAACCGATTCCTTGTAACTCAAATCTTGCTCTAATCTCAAAGCAAAATATCGCTCACTCCGCGGCTCGTATCTCAAAACTCTTGTATATTAGGGCGCTCGTATATGGAGGTACCATTGTATGTCTGTAGATATCCAGGTTCCTGTGGTTTGCGACAGTGTCGTCTATATAAAGCCTGAGGAGTGTTCCAGATGTGCTTGGAACGTGTGTATATGCTACACAAAAGGACTCATAAGACCGCTACTACTGTATCCATAATCTTTCATTTTCTGTATATCACACTCTGTAGAAGGATTTGCTTACATCCAGAAAGGCTCGTACTCTGTAAGTCTGAGGACTTGTAGTTCACTGGATTGTTGAGCTCTGAAGCCAAATTGTGTTTCAAGGGAATAATCTTAGCCTGTCTTTCCAGGTTTCGGCATAATGATTGCATGGGCTTCCTTTCATTGGTTTGAGAAGAGTCTGTATCTTAATAATAGTCTCATCTATCGACGTTCGGTGAGAATTTATATTCTACCATTAGGATAGTGGAAGAGATAGTGGCATAATTATTGGTCTGCCTTGTAGAAGTCTATATTTCTTTTGTAGAAGACTTTTCGGTATATTGTAATATTTTAATTTTTTTTATAGATAATGAAACGTTCTCAAAATACCCATGCTAGCCTCAATACAGCATTTTTACTGAAGATTTCTGATGACAAACTGGTAGAAGAAGCAAATATCGTAATTGGCACTCTAGGATCAAAAATCCACGCATCAGATAGTGAGAAGTTTATTATAGGCAAAAATATTTTTAAAAACGACATATTACAGCAAGTATTCAAAAGGCTGGACGGTGAACTAAATCCCGAAAATGATTTAATGCACCCTTCGCCAGAATATTCCAAAAAGTCTACTATTAGTTTATTTTATAAAGTAAGTTTATTTTATTATGAGGGATAACACCATCGCTTTCATAAATATTCCATTTTCTAATATATAAAAAAAAAATATTAAAAATAATCCTGGAACGAATTTTTTTATCAATATTGAATGTTTGAGTTTGAATAATTAGCGGTCTGATTTTAACAGGTTAAGTGCCATTGTATTGAAAATCTTACTGTTTTCATTGGCTGGTCACTTTTTTTTAAGTATTTATATTACTTTCTTTAACATTCAAATCAAAATCTAACATTGTAAAATGCAAATTTTATTTCATTTTTCAAAATGTTAGTCACTATCAAAATTTTTATCACAAAAGGCCTATGAGAGTCCAACGTGGCATCACGCCATAACTTATCCATTCCTGTTGAAAACGTGTCGACAAATCTAACAAGCGAATGAGCCGTCGCCGTTCGCTATGGCTTGAGTTTTTCTTGTCTGTACTGTACGACCATATACGAGCCAATCGGTCAAAGAGAGTCACTTTCCTTGTCAAATCAAATTTAGTTAGGTTATGTTATTATTTGTCCCAACTGCCGCATAAAAGCTTATTTATATTGAAGTTTTTTAACAATTGTATTATATTTTAGACTATTATCGTTATTATTTACATATTTAAAACTTTCTCGTCTTAGACTAATTCTGAATAATATTTTATTGCTACTTTAAATTTGGCGCCTTGGCATTCTCGAATATGTCCTCCATATTAAGAGGCCACTTTTATAAATATTGGTCTCCTTTTCATAATGATTAGATTCCCTCTTTTGTCTTTTTGCTCGACGCCCTGGACGTAGACGTATATCCTGGCTGGCCAATCTTAGGAAATGGACTGGTCTAGTCTAACGTCAACTGATCTATTTCGAGCTGCTGTGAATATAATAACAGGGGCCAATGTGGTCGCCAACATCTCTAGAAGATATGCACATTTAGAAGAAGAAAAAGCTTTTCGTGGTTTCATAAACATATACAAAAAGCGTCGGTCCACGAAAATATTTTTAAAATATCTTAGTTAAAATATTGGAAAATGTTAAATTTTTAAATCTTTTTCAAATTAATTGATTAATAAAAAATCCACGAGCCTAACGTTGCCATGTTATCTATTTCTTGTAACTTAAACATTATATTTTATAAAGTTAAATAAAGTAACTCAAAGTTAATTTAATTACATTTAAAGGGTTTTTACCCATGTATTTAGTGGCTTAAAACATGTACATTCAGATAGCACCGATGATGGAATATTATTTCCGAAAACGTTCTGTGATGTAGCCCGATAGGGTTTTTAATATTATACCTTTTATACGGGAATTTTTAAATTTTTTTTTTTTTAATAGAAAATGTTAATTTTATTAATCTCTTTCTAACTTTTCAGTATATTCTCAGTATTGCACCTCAAAATTTATTGACTCCAAGTCACGTCTCTGGAAAATCTAAATTGAAACGGCCTATCTCGAAGAGTAAACAGGAATATGAAATAAAAGAAAACATGTATCCGATTTCTTATCCAGTTACAAAAAAAGAAGCGATGCTGCAAGCTACAGGTACTTATATTTTTTTCTTTTCCTCCTGTTTTGTTTCTGAAGTTAGTGAAATTTGAATAAGTAAAATTTATGAAAAACAAATTTTATGATAATCTTATTATATTAAAAATTCCACTTCCCGTCTACCTGAACAATTTGATTTTCTCTAGAGATATCAATATATTAACAACGATTTACGAATATATCAAAAACTGTAAATATAAATTGTAGCTTAAAACTTACCCTTATATTTAAGCAAATATTATAGCAGAAAAAAAACGAATTAAAAAATAAGTTGTAATTTATAAAAAATTGCACGTTAGATTGTACGGATGATTGTATGTTTATTCCTCTAACTGTAAACAATTCCTCTGATTGTTAAAATTGTTTGTCGTTAAATTTGTCTGGCTAATTGGCTCGGCCAAGGCCATCAAACTAAAATAATAAAAAATATTATGAAAATGATACAGATTGTTGCACCTGCACTCGCAAGTGTGGATGCATAAGCACGGGAACGCTCGTCTACACTTGTCGACTTCATCAATCAGCGTTTCGGAATAATTTCTATATGTTTCATTAATAATTATGGATATCACTTTTTTCTGTTAAATAAAAATAAACATTAATTATAAAAATTAAAATCCTAATTTTTGTACCCCAAAAATTACTGTCCTAGGCACGTGTCTAGGTTGACTAGGCCTTAATCCACTCCTGGCCATATTCCATAGCCAAACAGCATCTGGATTCATCCTAAATACAAGAGTATTCCATTCAAGGTTTCAGTTCATACGTTCTCTGCATCAAGCCAGTTGATCATTTTGGTGCTTATACGTGAAAGGTAAGGCAGACTCAAGACGATATAAAGTAAGTTCAAAGCGTTTGTTTCGGCACCTGATTAACAGTTTATGTTCGTTTCAATAGTCTGGAATTGATCTTGTGACGTGCAGCGGTCCCGTACAGACAAAAGCCTCTAAGGTGCGATTTTGGTGTGTGACCATTTTTCTGATATGCCCTGTACCCCTAGCTCTATTTGTACGGCCCTCCTGATGCCATGCTCGACAACAAAACTAAGTTGTTGAACATTTGCTTGTCTTCTCATTCTTGAAGTACCTCATCATAACGTACCTCATTGTATATATATATAATCAATAACCCTTCTACCCTAAGGTGTTGGGTGTAAAGTCTCTTTTTAGGTTTCATATGCTTGCTCCTTGGTGACTCCTCTCCTGTCTAGGATGGCGGCAATTTCATCGTCCCAGGTCTTCATGGGTCTGCCCCTCGATCTTTTCAAGATTCTTCTCGCTTCCCACACTTGTTTCACTTGGCTTTTTTTATCCATCCTTACCATGTGGCCGTAGCATCTCAGTTGGGCTTCTTTAATTTTCTTCTGTATTGATTGGACTTTAAGGCGCTCTCTTATTTTATCGTTCCGTATCCTGTTCATTCTGGTCACCCCTAGTACTCTTCTTAGATACTTCATTGAAATACTTTGCAGTTTATTTGTTAGTCTGGTGGCGAGCGTCCAGCTTTCACATCCAAATGTTAAGATAGGTACAAAAACTGTGTTGCAGATAGCTATCTTTGCTTTTTGGGATACTTCTTTTTTCGATAGGAATGTGCTCTTAATTGCGTGGTATTGTACGATGATCAAATGCCAATTCTAGCTACAAAATACAACCATCACTTACTGTTTTTGTAAGAACAGATATCACAACAACCAGTTTATCGATATAATTGCAAAACTGATCGTTGTTGTCCTAATTTAAACAAAAATATTGCTGGAAACTATTTATTATATTATATATATATATATATATATATATATATATATATATATATATATATATATATATATATATTCAGTATTGCTAAGTGTTCGTTTTTGTATGTCATTTAATATGTTTTACCATTATGTTTTAGGTGAAGCAGAATATATCTCAGATATGCCAGACTTGGTAGGTCAGCTACACGCTGCTTTCGTACTAGCCAAAGCTAAGCCATTGTCAAGAATTATAAAAGTAGATACCGAAAAGGCTATGGTTAGTATTTAAATCAATTTACCTATACTATTATAAAAATTAAAATTCACACAAAAAGTTTACAGCACAATAAAACAGGATCTATTAAAATAAACAATGAAGTACTTCTAGCACGTAGACTCCTGTGGGTCTGTTAGTAACGTTGTTTCTTTCTCCAGATTTACAATTTGTTGGTAGGTGTGCTGTCCTGTTATTTTTTTAACTTTTTTCCAAACGGATGATATATCTGTACTGCTGTTTATGCTAGATATGTATTTTTGCCATGATTCTTGTTTGCTTTTTTTTTATGATTCTTCTGGCATCAGCTCTACATTTTTGTACTCTGTTAATAGATCAATACCAGGGAACTGGTTTGTGTTATATATATATATATATATATATATATATATATATATATATATATATATATATATATATATTATATCAATCAGTTTATAACGTTCTACGCCATCTTCTGATTTCCAGTCTCCATTTATCTCGGTCGTTCCAGAGGTTTTCTTCAACTCCCTTCTCCCTTAAGTCTTTATCCATTCCTTCTCTCCAACTTAATCTGGGTCTACCTTGCTTTCTTCTTCCATGCGGTGTCCAGTTCAATACTTTCTTTGGTATTCTATGTTCATCCATTCTTTGGACGTGTCCATACCATCTTAGTTGATTTACTCTGATGTCCTCTGTTAAATTGTGTTTAACACCCGTAATTTCTCGTATTCTTTCGTTTCTAAGTCTCTCTAATCTTGATTTTCCAGCCGCTATTCTCCAGAAGTCCATTTCTGTTGCTTCTAATGCTTTTAAGTTTTTTCCTTGATTGACGATCAGTTGCACTCATACAGTCCTCGAAGACATACCGTCTCAGGACTAGCAACTTTAACGTGGAGTCATATGTCGCCATGTTACCTAATCCATCGGTAACTCTGTAATCCTATATCATTACAACATTATTTTAAAACTAAATGTAATTAAACATATGTAATCGGGTTTTTACCCACATATTTAATCTTGGTGGCTTCATTCATGTACTCCTAGACACTGATGATGGAACATGGTTTCCGAAAACGTTTTGTCTTTTTAACTTTGTTTTAATTATAATCATATTCAATGTTCTTGTACTCACGTTTTTAGGTCTTCGTACAACAGTAACTTTATAAACAGGTATATCACTTTTAATAATTTGCTATAGTGAAAATACTCGTATAACATTGCGAATATATCAGAGCTGAAATTAAACACATTTTGTGGTACGGAATCAAGTCCGGTCTCTCCTATTTTCACATTTTAATATTAATAAACTAAAAATTTCTAGAAATTGGACGGAGTAGTGGCATTTTTTGACAAGAATGACATCCCCGGTCGGAACACCTTCACCCCCATAGAGGCAGAATTTCTAACATTCTATCACGTAGAAGAAGAGCTCTTTTGTAGCGGAGTTGTGCAGTATGACTGCCAACCAATAGGAGTGATAGTAGCCAAATCGCAGGACCTAGCCGAAAAGGCGGCAGAATTGGTAGAAGTAGTTTACGAAAAAACGAATGAGAAGAATCTCCATAGTATTAAAGATGTGTTGAAAAACAACGCGATGGAAAGAATAAGAGAAGATACAAAGGAGGAGCCGATACAAAAAGGTAAGTATATAAAAATATGTTATAACCAAACTCTAAATACTTTATAAAAAATATCAAGTATTGGTATACTGACACTACATTTCTTCTCCTTGATTCGATGTTTTACCAACAAAAATGCCAACAGTTTGTCAGACGCAATGGAATTTTAAATCTCGGTTAGTTTTCACTGTAGCAGATTTTCGTGAATAGCTTTTGAAAGTGATGAAATCTCCATCCGTGAAGCAATCGGTTTGAAAACTTTAATAAATGATTACCCTTTTAACATACTTTTAAACATTTTTAAGGAAGTGTTTACCCAAACCGATTTGATATTCAATGTTGTTTAAAATCAGTGACATTATTCATCATGAATGAATGAGATGAATATAATAAAACTGACATTATTCATTCCAAAAATAAAATAACAAAACTGGTGCAAAATCTCAGAGATTTTCGTAAAGGCATGACATAGAAATAGATCTCGAGAAACGAGTATATTTTGAAATTATATTAAGCAAATAGATACTCGTTTTTGAATTTTGAAGATTTGCAAATTTTTGACCTCTTTGACGATTCAAAATTTAAAGTTACACCAAAGAATTTCCAAGATATTTATTAGACAGGTTAATTAAAAATTATCCATCATTCTTTAATAAAATAAAATTAGAAAATAAATAAAAAGTTTTATATGCTGATCCAAATATTTTCGGAAGGTGGGATAAGTTACAAGATATGTATAATTTTATTTCATTACACAAACTGTTACCGAAATTAACAAAATAATTGTCATTAATTCTCTCATTACCACCAACTTCTGCCTCAAATGAACGAGATTTCTATTGTCTCAAGCAAATCCAAACGTATTGTCGAAACACCATGAAACAAGAGAGAATGTCAAGCTTGTCTCAAATGTCAATAAAAAAAAAACTTTTAAAATCTCTCCAGAACTCTAATAAATTTGACGATGACGTTATAACCCATTTTGCTACTTCCACACAATGTAGACTAGAGTTAATTTATAAACATGTTTAGGTTCTAAATTTATAGGAAAAAACAAAAAAAAAATTAAAAAAAAAATAAAAAAAAAATAAAAAAATCTCCTATGATGATTGAAGTCTTTATCATGCCTCCACTACACATCGGCAGACTCGTCTACGAACGCATTTGCAGATGTATCAGCACAAGCTGACCACACATAAGGGCTTCTTCTTCTTCTTCAGTGCCTTATTCGGTCCGGATGTTGGCGATCATTAAGGCTATCATGGTTTTGTTGACTGCTCTGCGAAATAGCTCCGCTGAGGTCATCCCAAACCATTGTCACATAAGGGCCCTGATTCTAATTGAGATTTCGACTCAAAACATGCCGAAATGGACAGCAGGAGTGTGACGTCACATCTGTCATAACTTTCCAAACAAAAGTTGAAATGTCAAATTTCAAGAGTTTTTAATTTCTATAAAGTTAACATTTTACTTCCTCTGCTACTTTTTCTTTTAAGTATAGTGTTTTTTACGATAATACCATCACAATTCAGTGTTCTATTTCTATGAAATATAGTTTAAAAGTATACATTAAAGAAAGTCTAACCTTACTTTATTGATGTATTCATTTTATTGCTATTTTTATAAAAAAAAAACATGCTTTATTATTTACACAACCTTGTAAAATTGTTGTAGTAACTATTAGAATACTTAAATATTGCAAAAAATGGAAAGATTGTGTAAAAAAAATTAAAAAATAACGAAAAATACAAATTATTGTCATATGATTGTATACGTCATCACTCCGGCGGTCCATTAATATGGCGACGTCGAAATACGACTTTGCGAGCCTAGTGGATTTCAGCTGAACTAACCAAAGGACGTCACTAATTTTCGATTTATCGAAATTAATTTCAACTTCAAAAAAGTGGTTGACATTTCATTTCGTGTCGAAATTAATGTGCCATGACTGGCTGGACTGGGAGAAGTGAGATTAGGTTCAGTTTAGGCGGTGTTGTGTTTTGTTTGATTCTTGCAAGAAAAACTGAGGCAAAAAGTATTAATATGGCTGCATTTTATGGACATTTGCTGGTTTTGGAAGAATTAGAGAGGATAGATATTCGACGCTCACAACGGAGGATAAGAAGAATGTAACGGGATACTCAAAATCCTTTTTCACTAAGTGATGCTCAATTTAGGCAGCAATTCCGCCTTAATAAACAAGCTGCAAATTATTTGATAAGTATATTAGAACCATATTTGGAAGAGGGTTTTTATGCCTCTAAGAGGCCCAAAATGTTTAGGGTATTACTAAGCTGCAGTAAATTTAAAAATATATTAGAATATAACCACTAAGTCAAAAGCCACCATAATTTCTTTTTGGTCCACAGACAATTTAGTGCCACCATCACCGACAGCCTCTCCATCCATTTTCTTTCAATTCAAAATATTGAATCAAACACACTTGTTTCACAAGAAACAAAAGGCGTAACGTAAACAAAACAAACATTTAACAAGCGTTGTGCAGCGTGCAGGAAATAAACAAGACGGCCAACCCAAATTCTGAGCAGTGTCAAAATGATAAAGTAAATATTCCCACTTTTAACTAAAATCGAAATAACTGAGAATCGCTAGCGATTGCGACTGTCATGGCGTAGTCGCTTTTTAATTTCGACGTCAAAATGAAATAGAATCAGGGCCCTGGACACATCTATCGTTCAGTCTGTGTTAATTCCCGAGAGACGCAATATCTGACATCCGCACCGAAACACTTTGATCTGTGTTAAAAAAAAAAACGACAACAATCGGGTATCATGCAGACGCATCCGCGGACGTGATATATAAACAACAGATGATCAAATTACCCCATTTACACATCTCCAGATGCATACGTAGATGTCGTCTGCGGACGCGTCTGCCGATGTGTAGAGGAGCCATAATAAGAGATACAGAAACAAGTTATCTGACAGGTTCTATGAAAGTAGGACAAATATTATTATATTAGTAGAGTCAGCATCTTCTTCCCTATGTAAAAAACACAAAAAAGAGTTTTCTTAATTTTTAGGAGCAAATACAGAACATATCGTTAATGGAAAGGTAGAGCTAGGTTGGCAGTCTCATTTTTACATGGAAACTCAATGTTGTAATGTAGTTTATAAAGATGATGGCTTAGACATGTATGCTAGTACTCAGTGGATGGATTCTGTGCAAACAGCAGCATCTGTAGTGTTAAAAATTCCTGCTAATAAGTAAGTATATACATATAAATTGATAACTACTGATTTCTTGTTTTGTGTAACATTTATTTAGACATGTTAGCCAATCTCAGAAAGTGATTAATTGTGTCTTTTAAAATGTTGTCTGAGGTATGTAAGGCATTTAATACGGATGGAACAAACTGACCCAGCTATAAACAGTCCTGGATAGACCCATTGATCAGGGAAGAAGATTCAGAAGAAGGTTCCTTGATAACATCGATAAAGTCATGAGAAATATGGAAATTCGTATTTGGCGGTAGAACGGGATGTATAGGAACGATTGGAGAGAAATTCTTGAGAAAGCTAGGAGCTGCGCAAGGTTGTAAATCCAAAATGATGATGATGATCATTGTTTTTTTTTAAATATTGCAAATGTATATTGCAAATGCAATCAGTTAAAGTTGATTTCATGTAGTCTAATGAACTATTTAAAGTCTTTCCAGGAACGCAACTCAAAAAATATTTACAATATTTTAAATTCGTCTACGTTAAAATGTATAATATATGTCTGAATGGTCAATATGAATGAATCTGATAAAATTAAATTATTAGAAGAATTTTTGTATTTACGATTGTCTAATCAAGTCACATTTTTTTGAGTCTATCGACTCTCGGAACTACAGGATATATATATATATATATATATATATATATATATATATATATATATATATATATATATATATAGTTGCCACTTTTGTGCACCTCGAGTATACTATAGTACCACAATTGTATCAAGTGACTCATATTTTCAACGTAGACCTTAGCGAGCCTGAGAGGAAAGGAAATAGACGAGTCATAGGCGTACGGTTATTATTGAAAAAAATAATCAGGATTTTATAACGGATTGATTGTCATAAAAATTATTTTCTTATTTTATAGATGCCTTAGATGAAGAAAATTAACCCTTGTTAAATATATTTTGTTGGAAAAACCCTTTGTCCATTTAAATTGACAAACTTACGACTGATTCAAAGATTAAATTTAATTCCTATTAATTCCTATTAATTAAAAAGGGTCGTCTGGTAACTTTTAGCACGGGTAAAACTGAATAACTTAAACAATTCTTGGTACGAAACAGTACTATATAGTAATAAATTGATCATAACTGAATATTTATTTCCATAAAATATAAAAAATATGTTCAAATAAAAACTAACATCATATTATATATAATCCAAGCTGGGTCATCTATGTCATCTTCAGATTCATCAGTAGTATTTTCGCCTAGATCCACAACTACCGGTTTCATTCCATGATAATTTTAATGCTTTTAATGCAAGTTATCAAGGTTCCACATATTCTGCTCTTCTTTCACTACATGTTCGATACATTTTATCTACGACTGTGAGGTCACATTGCTGACGGCACTATTAAGCAGTTTTTTACATCATTTAATTTGAAAGTAAACAACATCTACATTTTAAAGTTTTACACCATTTAATCCACTATATATTTAATATATTTATCTTTATGACACCGTGCTAAATTTAGTAACTTTGAAACTAAATTTAGTAACTCGTAATTTAGTTTCAAAATTGGTGCATAAAATTTAATATATTTTTTAGTAAGCCAATCCGCAATAACGGCGTTTCTCCATTTAGTGGTTGGTAACCACTAAATAGAGGTTTCTATTTAGTGGTTACAATAACAGATCCTAGTTGGATTTTTAACAGAATACCTGAAAACTATTTTTCATAATGATCTGCATCCATTTCTTTATGGTAACCTCCTTCTTCTTCTTCAAGTGCCCTGTCCGTTGCGAACGTTGGCTATTAATATGGCAATTCTGATCTTGTTTGCGGCGCTTCTGAATAGTTCGACCGATGTGAGCCCGAACCACTTCCGCAGATTTTGGAACCACGAGTGTCTTCTCCTGCCTGGCCCTCGCTTACTGTCTATTTTTCCCTGGACAATCAATTGCAGCAAACGGTACTTATCTTGTCTCAATATGTGGCCTAGATATTCAAGCTTATTTTGTTTAATTGTATTCACGATTTCTTTCTCCTTTCCGATTCTTTGGAGTACCTCCATGTTGGTGACATGTTGGGTCTAGGGTATACGAAGAATGCGTCGGTACATCCATATTTCGAATGCTTCTAGTTTTCTCGTGAGCGTCTCCGTCAGCGTCCAGGCCTCCACACCATACAGTAAGATCGGAAAAATATAGCATTTAACTAGACGTAGTTTTAGGGGAGGAGATGGTAACCTCCAGTCTTTTTAAAAACAAATGCATTTAAACCTCCAACAAATCCTGTCGCTACCAATATGGCTAATAATAAGGCGTTTCCTTTCCAAATGGGGATTTTAAACCTGTCGACAAACCATCTAGGGATGGTTGTCAGTTTGTTTTTCACATTTAAATCCTGCCAAATGTTTGTCACAGTTTGTCCTTCATTTAACAATATTTCATCTGCATAATATGTTTTTTTCATCTCTTCGAAATTTCACTATTTATTTCATATATTTTCTGTACCATAAAATGATTTCTTCTTTTTTAATAAGGGTACTATTCCTCTTTCTCTTTAAATACCTAAAGTTTATTTCACGTAAAGTACCTAACAAAACACGTCTTGATATTTTTGGAATATTTTCGGCGGATTGAAGAGAAAAGCATTTTTTATAGTTGGTAATTCCTTTTTGAAATAAAATGCACGTACTGGACGACGAATGGCCTGTTTATTTGTATCATCCAATTTTATTTGTTTCATTCCTCTTGTCTTAACCTTGAAAGTATTATAATCGTTTGTTTCATCGTATTTCATCATGTTTGTATCAAACTGATAAAAAAGAAGAATTATTTGAAATGATGAAAGAACTGTACGTAGAAGCTGGAAAGATAGGCCTTAATATGAATTACAACAAGACCAAAACCATAACAAATACAGATGAAGACATCACGATGAGAATCGGACAAGATGAAATAGAACAAGTTCAGGATTATATATATCTTGGTCAAACTATAAAACTTAACAAAGAGAAACAAACAGCAGAGATAAAGAGACGATTTAGACTGGCATGGGCGGCATGTGGCAAACTAAGCTACATTCTTAAAAACAAAAGATATCTACAGCATTTTAAGACCAAAGTATACAATCAATGCTTACTCCCTGTTCTTACTTATGGTTCCCAAACGTGGACATTTACAAAAGCAAACAAGGACAAAATCATAAAAACACAAAGAGCAATGGAAAGACAAATGTTGCACATAAGACTAATGGATAAAAAAAGAAACGAATGGATAAGAGAGAAAACAAAAGTGAGGGATGTTAGACAAGAAGTTGCAAAATTGAAATGGAAATTTGCCGGACACAAGACAAAAAGAAGCCCGATGGAACAAAATTCTTGTTGTTGGAGACCGTGGGAATATAAACGAAGCAGAGGAAGGCCCCAAATGAGATGGGCAGATGATATTAAGAAGCACGTGGGCTCTAGGTGGATGACTGTAGCGACAGACAGAGAAGAAAGGAAAAGGATTGGGGAGGCCTATGTCCAAAGATGGACCGAAGAAGGCTAATTAGATAGATAGATAGTTTCATCGTCTGTCTCACTCTGTACATACTAGCTTCTGAAACTTTTGTAAAAATACTACATAATGTAACTACATCGCTTACATTCATATTTTTTTCTCTGGCTTGAAGTTCTTCCAAACACATTTCCGATCATAGCTTTTTCTTCTGGTGTCAAATCGTAACGTTTCTTTTTGATATACGGTTCACTATTACTACTGTCCGTCATATTTATTCTTCGTCTAGCCATTCACGTCCACATCTGAACATAAGCCTCTTCAAGTCTTCCTTTCCATTGTTTTTTATTGTACGCTACTTGTAGCCAATTTTTCCCGGCAGTCCTTTTCAGATCATCTGTCCATCTCATAGGAGGTCTGCCTCTGGGTCTTCTGTGTTGGTATGGTCTCCAGGTTAAAATTGATCTGTGCCATTTGTTTAGATCGCTCCTAGCTACATGTCCAGCGTATTCCCATTTCAACTTTAATGATTTTTGTACCACATCGGTGACTTTGGTTTTGTCTTATCCATGTGTTTGTTTTCTTGTCTCTAAGTGATATATCTAGCATTGCTCTTTCCATCGCGTGTTGAGTGACTCTAAGTATATTCATATTCTTTTTTGTGATTGTCCATGTTTGTTCAAATGTGTTCAAATTCAACAACAAAATGTACTTTTGTAATAGGCATGACATAGTGACACATCAGAGACATTATAAGTTTTATTATCATCATCATTCTGGCTTTACAACCCCTGCCTGGGTTCTAGCCTCCTCAAGAATTTGTCTCCAGTCGGTCCTATCCATCGCCTTCCCCAGCCAAGCAAATATTCCCATAGTTCTCATGTCTTCATCGATATTATAAAGGAACCTTATTCTGGGTCTTCCTCTTCTTCTCGGACCAATGCGTCTATCAAGGAGCGTTTTTCTAGCTGGGTCATTTTGTGCCATCCGCCTTACATACCCTATGCACCTCAGACGTCTTATCTTAATACGTTTTACGATATCTGGTTGCTGATATATTCTATAAAGTTCGAAGTTTTATCGTCTTCTCCACACTTCATTGTCATTCACTGCTCCATGGATTCGCCTTAGTACTTTTCTTTCGTAAAATCCTAACGTATTTTCATTACTTTTTGTTAGAGTCCAGGTGTCTGAACCATATATTAGGACTAGGAGTATTATTGTTTTGTAGAGTTTTATTTTTGTATTGCTCGATATAATTGTAGATTTTTGTAGCTAATCCTTTTAATGCTACATACGCCTCTCGTACAGCATTTTCCGTTCTGCCAACAATATTGATTTCATCAACATAGACAAGGATTTGCACTGATATATTATATATTGAACCAATGGTTGTGATTTGTGAAATACGTATTACTTTTTCCAGAGCTAGATTGAATAGTATACAGGAGAGTGGGTCTCCCTGACGTAGCCCGTTATTTGTATTAAAAGGTTCAGACAGTTCCCCCTGAATTCTTACTCTACA